AGATGACCTGCGGTTTTCTAATACAACTGGTATTCTGCAAAAAAAAAAAAAAAAAACTTGGTTTATTGGTGTTGAAATAGAGCAAGAGACGAGTGCACCCCCTCCCAAAAAAATCCTGGATCCGCCCCTGCACCAGCGATTTCAATAACAGCTACTAAAAAAGGCCTTTAAAATCTTCTAGCTAAAAGTCGCCAGTTGCGCTCTGTAAGAAACAGTTAACTATGCGAGTTTTTTGGTAAAGAGAATGTGGGTTATTAACTAAAGGCTAAAAGAAATTGATATTGACTGCTTTCATGATCACATGGTAAATGCTTTTGACCTTTTTTCAGTGTTTGCTCACAGTCCGGCTGACTGTGAAGCAAGTCCACAAAACCTGAAAAAAGTTAACTTTTTAAGCCTGATTGCGGACAGGCAAAAATCGCAGTCAATAATCCAATAAGATTAATCCAAGGGTGGTTAATGGGTGATAAAAACAAAACGATTGCGAGAACAAAGTGGGTCATTTGAGAGCAACGCTACTACTTGCAATAAACATACTTTTTTACTTGTTTCTTGCAAGAGTCTCTTTTTTCTTTTTCTTTAATCTCGTTACCAGCTGAAACACATCTGGTGATAAATAACGGTACAACACAATTAGCAACTGCCAAGCAAGCTTTGAATAAAAGACAGTTAATCACTATTAATAGAAGGGTTAAATCTCCTAAGTGAAGTCAGATTACCGAGTCCCATAAACTAAATTGAGTCAAGAGGCTGTCAATAACGAAAATAAAGAAAACAAAAAGGAACAACGTAGCAAAGAAAACTGGATGAAAGTGAAATCCAGGACGTATCAAATCTTTGAAGAACCTTTTCTGAGGCGATTTGACAATCTCACGCGCGTTTTTTAGTACTCAAGTACTCACTTATTCGCGAGTTAGGGTCGTTAGGCTGACTCATACTTATGACGAACTATCTACACGGGTCTTACCTCTGGTACTAAGATAGCTAAAAAGGTGTTTGTGCTAATTCAATCTAATCAAAATGTATTGCAAAATTAAAAGTGGTAAAAAAAATGGAAAATTCATTTCCGTTATGAGTAATTTGCTTGCGTAGGCCAGCGTGCGCACTTCAGTTTCATTTCTCAGTCAGCCTTGTCCCCAGGCTATCCGAGGGAGCTGAGGAGGCTTGAAACCGAGTTCGAACTATCCAAAAAGCTAGACAGGTGACGTCACATCCAAAATCACCGAGGACGACTGGGAACGAGAGAGGCTGCGACGTAGCAGGTGACTTTTGCAAACACTGCGTTCCTTTTGATCAGCAACATGATTGTTACAAACGGTTGCCATGAACACATTTTTTGTTTTCGAAAACGGAAAAAGTACAGTAAATACCAATAAGTAAAAGTTAACACTTTACAAAAAGTTACACGATTTTTCTGACATGAATAACAAAAGTGAAAATGCTAAGTTGTGATTTTGTAGAGTGAAAGCAGGAAAATTCTTTAGTTCACAAAGTGTTTTTTTTATTTGAATTAGCCGGGAATTGGCATAACAATTTTTTTACAAATATTTTTTATTATTTCGTTTTTTGACTACTGCTTCATGAATAGGTCTCTTTCTTCTGTTTAAATCATTAAATGGTTTGTCCTCGTTTCAGTTTTTCCTGAATGTAAACTGAACAAAGGGGGTCTTATCTTATGCAGCCTTGAAATTGCTGTTATCTCTGTGTGTTAAAGAAACATTTTTTGTCTGCAATAGGCAAGCGACTAACTACTTTCTTACCTTTTTCCACTACTTCTTCCTGTAAAATACTGAAAAATGCTTTGTAACGCAAAATAGTTGAAAACAAAAGGCCCTTTAACAGGACCTTTCATCACTGATTTGTACTTAGCATTCAACGCCAGATCATACTGAAAGATCTATTGCTGTTCAGTGAAATGGCGTCATAATAGACATTTTCCCCGCGCGAGCAAAAGAACCTCTGTTCCAAAGTTGACGAAAAGAAACCGTTGACTTTGTGGGCGTATTTATTATGTGAGGTACGTTGTTAATTGGGCGGAGGGCCAAAGTTAAAAAAAAACTATTTCAGACTTCCTTAGTAGCGTAATAATAGCGTTTTTTCGCGGCAGGATTACCTCAGTGAGTAGAGCGCTTGTCTGCAGAGCGGAGGTTGTGGGTTCGATTCCCAGGACCGGACCAATACTCAGGGTATTAAAATAACTGAGAAATGAAGGCATTCCCTTTGAACTACAAGCGGCTAGACCTTCGCGTGGTTCGCGATGACCAAGTAAAATGGCGTTCCCGTCTCCAGTTAGAGATGTAAAAATAGTGTTCTCAATTAGTACTTTCGCGCTAAATACCTTGATACTCAAATAAAGTGCTTAATTTTTTTCTCTGCCCTTTCTTTTTTTTTTCTTTTTACGCGTAAATTGTGCTACAGTATTTTGCTGACCTGTATTTTATTTTTATTTTAATGCTGTTGTCAACTGGCTGCTTGGCTCCGCTAGCCCCTATGGTTATCCCAGGAAGTCACTGCTCTCAGATTTTACTTTCCAGTTTTTCTTTGTTGTAATTCATTCAGTGGACAAGACTGAGCAGAGTACATACTTGTCGTTGTTGTTTCCCAAAAAATTCCCTTTCCCTCTTCTTATCCTTACCTCCTAAGTACCCGGCTACTGATCAAACATAAGACCCTCCCTTCTCAGATAAATGAAAAATTTCCCCTCACCCACCATCCTTATACTTTTGTTCTTAGACTGCGAGCAGTCCCTTATTTTTCTTTGCAAAGTTACTGCACCCAAAGCCTAAGCACGCGAGAAACGAGGGCGTAAGCCCGAGAAGAAAAAATCACTATATAATAACATCGTGGTTTGCAATCGCATTGGATGAGATCAAGAACTAGACGGATTTTAAGAGAAAAGGAGGACTACAAGCAGTCTATTTTGTTTTTTGTAGTCTGTTGTCTTCGGTCAATTATTTCTTCGTCTTTCCGGTCGCGTTATCCTAATGATATTTTTTTTTGGGCGGGGGTGGGGGGAAGGGACTAATTCAGGAAAACCGTTTCTGGTACCATAGTCAAAGTAGACTGTTCCTCGAGTACAAGTCTTAGGGGTAAAAAAAGCTAACATAAAAAAAGCTGATTTTTCTTCCCCCGATCAAAGAATTCGGGAGACGGCCAAGCATTATTTAATACCTGAATTATCTAGGACCGCTTAATATTGTCCCCCCAGTGTAGACCCGCAGGATTCTTGGTTGAAAAAAAAAGCCAATATTATATCAATCTGGGCGTAAGAGCATCAGTGCTCCTTTACAGTGTGCACTGGTTCAGGGGGAACTTCCATACTAAAATGACGAGGATGTTGGTCTCTGTGAGGCCTAGGGATAGATGAATGGACTATTTCATAGTTGTGGGCTTAGTATCCTAGCCTTTAAGTGAACGTGAGGCTGCTTGACCTTGTTTTGATACAAACCTCCTTCCTTTCTCATGGAAATTTGCTTTTGACTTTCCAATTTAACGCGGTGCCCTTCAGCCCTTTGCTAGTTTAAAACGTATAGCTCTCTCTAGAGACACTCCCGTAAGCGGACAACCGAAATGAAATCTCAATCGCCTCTGAATCATCACAATGAATTTATATCAATTTCAGTCTTTTCACATACCCATCTGCTGGTTCAAAACACCACATTGATTTTATGCTTGTTACTGAATTCTCCTGACAACATCGTCAGAACAACATTATAGCAAAAGACTCACAACATTCCCTATGTTTATTTGTAGCTGGGCAAGCTCCCGTAAGCGGCCATCTCACCATTATCGTAAGTGCCCAGCTCTAGTTTATGTTACGGACACCTTTTTCGTTTCCCGAGGGTGTCCGCTCGCGACAGCTTTCACTGTATTCTTGTTAGGAAAGCTACGAAAAAGGGTCCTCTCGCCCTTATTATCCCTTATTAGATCTCTATGAGAATATTCAGTTGCCTCAGGAGCTTGTAGCTGCCTTGCCAGTCTCTGAAAAGATCTCTTCGTGACCTTATAAGCCGGAGAGTACAGCGTTGGGCGTGGTGACTGGTGCTGTGTTTTGATACTTTAAGGAACGGTTTTCATTGCACTACTTAACAATTTTTCCGTACGGGGCATTCCGCATGGAAAAACAGGACTACCTTTTCAGATGTTCCGTTGCTCCCAGAAATTTTCCGCTTGATGGAACGACCCAAAAAGTCGTTAAAGTAGTTACTTCCCAACCGAATTTTCCGGAAACGTTTTGTAAACGGTAAACAAGCATCGTCTTCAAAATAATCCCATGATGCTCCTCGACACAACACTGACCCAGTCTCAAACTCTTCAAATTGGCCAATCAGTGTAACAGGCCCCGGGGGGTTCTCCCTATAATGGCTCATACGGGGAGCCCCCCCCCTGCCCCCCGAAATGGGTACCTTTTTGAGGCTTTAGTATATCAAAGGGGCCGGGATTTCGCTTGTTGAAGTATATGACAGGGTAGGAAAATCTGTCATTCCGGTCGGTAAAAAGAGCTCAAAAGGTCTAGCGCATGCAGTTTATGGCTGAAAAAAGTCACGAAAACGTTCTCGTTTTGTGATTTATTCATATTTTAAAGACAGTGCATTTAAGGCAGTTGAAAGGCATGCGAAGTTCTAAAATAAGTATGAGAAAGGGGCACCATTTGTCAATAGAAGGTATCCAAAAGGGGTACCTTTTATGTCAAAAATGGTATAAAAAGGGTAAAGGAGTCGGACCACGTGGCGCTTACGGCGCAGCCTCCCCGTGTAAACCTTTTCAAGAACACCCCCGATAAACAGACAGCAGTCTGGATTAAAAAGTGCTTTGTTCTCGGCACAACCTATCCCAATGGTTTCTGTGAAATTGCTATACTTTTGAAAATGCTAAAGCAGTAAATAGTCTAGACTAAATAGTACTTTGTTCTCGGCACAACCTATCTCATTGGTTTCTGTGAAATTGCTATACATTCGAAAATGTATCCTGAGAAAACATCCGTCATTTGGCGACGCTACCACTGGTTTCCCCGAGCCGAGGTACACCAGGTTCAAGGTTGGTGTGCCATACTTATTCTTCTCGAGGAATTCTTTGGAAATGTATATAACTGATAATACAACTCCTGCACCGTAACTGAGCCAGTGAACCACGAACCACACGCTGTAGGCTGATACAGTGTTGAAGACTACTGTACACAGGTTTTCGTGAATTTTAATGACGTCATCAAGAGTCGTATTTTGCTCTAGGTTCTTGATATGTCTAAGGGCATCTTCTGCAAAAGTACCTGGTGTATAAAATAGAACCAAGCCTGATTATGGTATTATGAGCCAGAGCGGGATCATGAATGCATTAGCAAAATACAAGTGGAACAATACTGAATTAAACGGCTGGGCGTAACTGAAACGGAGCGAAAAAATTTGTAAAAAAAATCGTAAATTGTAATTTGTTTACCCACGGAGCACTTTAAAATGTTTCCGTGCGTTCCAGATCGAATTGGCATTTGGAACTGTTGGTTTTTAAGGAGAGGGAAAAAGCGGAATACCCGAGAAAAAAACCAGTGTCGGAGCAATAGAGAGGACCAACACCAAACTCAACCCACATATGGCGTAAACGCCTGAATTCAAACCAGGGCCAGATTGGTGGGAGGCGAGTGCTCTCACCCTTGTGCCTAAAGAGGTGTAGCAACTGCAAAGCTTCAATTCGCTTGTATCGCCGAAAATAAGAAAAAGAATATGTGAATGTCTTTAGATATCTTCATTCTTGCTCGAAATGCAAAGTTAAAACCAGTTCCGTTCCGCTGAAGCTTTGTATCAATGGGAACCCAAAAGTGACGAGTAAACTGATTGATTTTTTAGCCACAAACCTGGGCGAAACAGTCCTGTATCAGTAACCAGATAGGTCCAACGTAAGTCTGCTTTGATCTAGCTGGGACTGATAGATGTCCATGTAAACCTTGACTCCATTTATTAATTTTGGCCCTATAAATCAGCTTAGAAACTCAGGACAAACAGTGAACAAACTGGAGGGCTAGATAGGACTACATGAGATGATCCTAATTTGGGGTATATAGCTGATTCAATAAAGGCTGCTTTGGGCATCGGGAATTGCGCATTAGGAAGCTATTGCTTAATGGCCACTCAAGAAAATATGCCCAAATGCCCAATGCCCAATATTACCTTTGACCAATTACAAAAGCAACCTTTTTTGATTTAGCTGTTCAACAGTTTTTTCGAGTTGTCTTTTGATCCTCTCTTGGTTGATAACGAACTTCCCGGCGGGGAGGGGGAAGAGGAGAGGGTCAGGGGAGGGGAGAGGAGGGGAAGTGGCCTTTTCAAAGTATATCTTACCAAGTGCAAACGAGCTGACAGCAAACACATGACAGGTTGTAATTGCCGTCCACTGTGCGAAAAACTGCGCACCCACTCCAGTTGCGAGTATGTCGAAAAAGGAATTTCGAGATTGACTCCAAATTATGGCATAAAACACTGCCACTGAGCATAAAAACAGCGTTGTTATAACAGTAAACGCAAAACACAAGCAGCAGACGTTCTTTTTGTCCAGATCATTGTTATTTGCATCTAGAGATTCAGAAGGAGTTATTAATGCAACGTAAGTGTTCCTTCTTGTTGCGATGAAACAACCAATGAAAAGAAAGTAAGAAATAACAGCCGCGACTGTGACGATCGTGTAAACAGCGTTTGCAATTTTCCTGTCATCTTTATGATGTGAAGTCTTGTTCTTATCCGTTGAATTTTGTAGAAAGCCGCAATCAAAGCCGGGACAACCAAGCACAACATAAAAATCGTAAACAGCTTGATAAAGGACGATTGCCCCGACTAAAACCCGAGGGATGTAATTCCACAGTCGGTGTCCCCATAGACCAAGAAAACAAAAACAAATCTTGAAAATAGCCAGCACCAAAGTATCACAGTTACTTCTTTGCAGTGTCTCTCGGCCAGAGCGGAAGTCGATTTGCTGGTGATTGTGGGGTAGAAGAGGATCTCCTTCCAAGGATACATAGTCGTCTTCTGTTTCAGAGGAGTCGTCTCCACTGGCCATTTTTTCAAATTAGGGTAGCATTTTCTTTAGACGTAATGTATCATACTGCGGATCAGTTCCCTTCATCATCCTCAGCATCATAAGTTTTACTTTCGGTTTCAGTGTGCTCCCAGCTATAAGAATTAGTAACAAATATATCACGTGATTTCCTCACCGCGTGTATTAATATCGGTGTAGAGTTTCAATCTTGTTTTGGTAGAATAAACGGCGATCGATTATAGTTGGCGTTGGTGTTCGATACGATTTATTAAATGGCTCCCGTCGTGGGGCACTGATACCCTGAGACTCGAGAAGACAAAATGGCCGAAAAACTAGCGCGTACTCGCGCCAAACGTGGTGGGAATCGAAGTGTTATGACGAAATTATCCAACGAAGCGAATGACCTTCTTGAAGTTGAACCGATCAACAAACAACGCCTGGATTTTATTGCTGCTTCACTAAACGAGAAGTTAAATTTGGTCAAAACGTTAGATATTTATAAAGTTGTCTCTTTGCCAAAAAAAAATCAATTTTTGAAGTTCCAAAATTTGAGAAATGTCCATGGATTTCAAAACGTTCGCACTACATTCTCAGACACCTAGTTCATTACCCCTAGAGACTTGCTCCTCCGGTTTCGTTTAGTCCGCCTCCTCCTTGGATCGCACCTCCCCGTAAAAAAACCCAGCTACGGCCCTGTTCTGGACATGCTCAACAGAGGTAAGTTGCTTCCAATGTTTTGATTTAGATGCAGATGACCATCAAATATATACGGTGGCCGATAGAAACCAAAAACTACAAAACTCGAAAATAGAAAACCCCAGACCAAAAACAGAAATACAATCCAAATTTTGACTTAACGGAAGCACAAAACCCAAAACAGAAATACACCCCAAAACTGAAAGAATGTAAAACGCCAAATAGAAACACCCATACAAAGCTGGAATCACAGAACACAAAACAGGATATAACAAAACCAAAATTTAAGCAATAGAAAACGTTTTCCGAGACAGTTATGCAAACCCTCGACTTCGTCTCGGGTTTGCATAACTGTCTCGGATTCTCCCAACCCCTCTCGTGTTTATATCAGGCTATGCAAATACAGGAAAAAGTTTTCTCTTGCTTTTATAAAATAACTTTCCCCCGGATCGGCTCCTGCTTTCCCAAGAAAAAACGCAAAACTCTTTGTTATGGCACTGATTAAAAGAGCAATTCTTACCAGTCGCAAACTCTTGTACACGAAGTCTTGCACGCGTAATCAGTTCTTGTTTTGCAAAAAGATGCTACTCAAAATACGGATTTTTCTCGCTTAAACTGTCAGCTTAAGGGAAAAAAATTGACACACCTTCTTTGTAAAGATTTTCCAAGTTTCAACCGACGGAGGAATGGGTAAATAAAGTAAACTTGTCGAATTTTGAACACGAAAACTTTTTCAAATTCGTGCTTGCGTGATTAGCGCGCGAAAAGCAAAATATCTTGACGCCACAACCATGTTTACATACTCTCACGCAAACACTCCTCTCGGCCAATCAGAGCGCGCGTTCTATCTTAGTTATTTTATAAAGATAACTTACAACCAGAAAAAAACATACCCTGTACCAGTCTCTCAGATAGTAGGAACGTCATGAAGAGGAGATCAAGGTAAAATAAGACGCGCGTTATCTAGGAAAGAGGGCTTCGTATGATAGAAGTCGCGAAAGCAAGGTCGTTTTTTCGACTCAGTTTTCACGATGTCTACACAAAACTATTTTGGAGCCCAAAATCGACTAGAAAAAGTAGAAACGGAAGTTCTAAAACGGAAATAAAAGAAAACCCAAAACAGAAATACCAATAGAAAACAGAACCACAAAACCCAAAGACATAATCACAAATTTAACACAATCACATGTGGTCGATGGTTTTGCAAAATGCCTCTTCAGGCTTTTAGACAAACTACACAATAGTCGTCATGCTGTAAATGAAGATTGTTCCTCTCTTCTCCCGTTGTCCATCGATCAGGAGACGCCGGGGCATAGACGTTTCCTTAGCCTTCTACCCCTTTTACCGGGTGGGGGCTTCCGCCCGAGGACCAGGAGGCTGTCTGTACCGTAGCTAGCCTGTTCCAGGCGTTATGATAGAAAAACATACTCACTCCCTACCCCACCCCCTTGCTGTTTTTCCCGCGCATTTCTCTTTGCGCCGTCCCCACAAAGTGAACGCCTGGAACTCCGTGGGAGTCTTGTGGCAGTAATGCCCTTTGTGTTGAACATCTCCTCTAAAGTATAGTATGACATGCTACATTAAGGCCTGGGCACCATATACAAGGGACTGTAAATATCTGATTTAGAATAACTTCCGCCTCGCTGTCTTTAATAAAGAAAGGATGTGAGACTTTCAGAATGTAAATGTTCAAACTTCATTAACATAGATGGAAGTCTCGGAAGACTATGCAGCGTAGGAGTAGAAGGCATTCAGTAACGCTTGTAGTATATTGTAGTCTTGATAAGAATAAAAACCTTATCGACATCCACAAAAATCATAATTACAACCATTTACCAAAAAGATTATTGCGGAAAAACTTTAATATTGAGTGACGTGTTAAATATTTCAAGCCGGCAATATGGAAATTATTCAAATTTTAGTCTGCTTTTTACACGGAAAACCCTTAATGGTTAACACGCAAATCCTGTCGTAGACTCTGTTAATAAATGACTACTTATTATGAAAACAGAATTCAAATGTCCCTCCCCCTCCAATCCGAACCATTTTTAAATGGTTTAAAAACACTGCTAGAGCCCGCGGCGAGGCCGGCAAAAGATCTGGTAACGAAGTTAAACTTGGTACATATATCGTCAAAATTAAAAGATCAAAAAAAGTGGTAAAGTAAACCGAAAAGACCAAAGAAGAAAGAAAACCAAGCCAAACTAGTGGTGAACGTGATTCTACCGACTTTGAACCCACATCTTCTCTTCTCAGCGTAGGAAACAAACATTGTTATATTTCGACGATCTTTAAACGGATGGCCGTCGTGCCAGTCCTCAGATATGCTGCAGTTGATCTTCTCGTAAATACCTTTGAATGAAACGAAATATTAGAATATTCATCTTTACTCAAAGTATATTTAAAACCTGTTCCGACTATTAAACAAAGGACAGACCAAACTGGTATAACCTCTATATATAATATCAGAAGCGATGGTCAGTGTAGCAGACCGCAACTGGATACCTTTTTTCAGTGATGGGGCTGCATGGTTCCATCGATATCAGTCATCAAATGTGTATGCAATTTTAAGCACAATTTGTGCCATACACGCGCCCCAAACTAAACAAATTAAAATGGCGTCGGAAATAACCTTCTTGGGAGATGAATAAATTCCATTTCTTTCATCTTTGTCTCTTTGTAAAGCAAAATCACTGGTCATTCTTCCGCTGAGCATGCGTTGTATATCGAGATATGAAGCACTTGGGAAGTTCAGAGAGCACTCAAGGAATGTCGCAACACGATCACCTATCATCTCAAATTCCACGAGGGATCTTCGCGAAGTTGCGGGTGCCCATGTGAGTTTATGACTTTGACGGTGGCGCAATTTTGTTCTTATAGCCAAATTCGTTGCATCGCGCTGCGCGTTTTGCAAACTTCAAAGGAATTTGGGTTTTTCTGTTCCGTCAATCATCTTAGGGGACCTTTTAGGAAGCACACGTTTACTTGTGATTGGTGCATTTCGATCCACTCTGTTTGCTCCTGTGTTTCAAGGTTCGTTTGATTCGTTGCTTGTAATCGCCCTGTTTCAGGCAATAATTGACTAGTCTTCTTCGAAGATTTTTCTGATCTTTCTTATTCTTATCTCTTGCAAGAATAAAGCAATGTCTGCCTCCTGCTCTAGGCAAAAATTCCACTCATCATAGAGATTTTCTTCGCTATTCTTGACCAGTCTAGAGTCATTCTCAGTTTTGTTTTTACGTGCCAAACTGGGTGAGTGCGTTGCATTGTGATTAACACCACCCCCGACTCAAATGACTGAAAAACGGAACAGAGAAACCCATTCGAAGTTTGCAAACGCGCAGCGCGATACAGTCGATTCTCTCTTAACGGACACCTCTGTAAGACGGACACCTCTGTAAAACGGACACCTAGAGTTGGTCCCTGCCTTTGCTTATTCCCTTTATTTGACTCTTTCTAAGACGGACATTTAGTGCCGGTCCCAAAGGTGTCCGTCTTGGAGAGAGTTGACTGTACAACGAATTTGGCTATAAAATGGCAAATTGGCTATTATATTGCGACCTGAACTAGCAGGCGCCGGTTGTTTTAGGGCGAAGGAGGAAATTTCAAGGACGCGCGCTCGTTTTCCTCATTAAGCCACGTTAAATACCCCCGCAAGACTTTTTAGATAACTTAGCTAAAATAACAGTTTTGTTTTAAAAAAACATTAGTACACTAATAACAGTGATCGCGAACTCAGCAGTGAGTGAATAAAAGACTTATACACCTGCAGTTGAAGTTTTTAATAATTGTAACACTACTTTCTCTATATACGACTTCTGCAGGCCACGTGCCGCTCATAAGGGTATGCTTCGTATTCCTTTGACTCTAGAATACATGTGTCGAACAGGGTATGAAAAATCACCATTTTTGAGCAAGGCCGATGTTTCCAAGAAATATAGAACGATCGAGTGTGGGATCACTAGGGAAATGTTACTGACAAAGTCGCAAATTTTATCTTTGCCTTGTCTAGATCTGCAAGAGATCCCGAAGTCTTGGAGAAACAGTGGCGACACCTCTATAGGGAATTAAAAAGCTTATCCCGGTTAGCCTTGGACCAGGCTTCATAGTGGGGGAAAAAGGCAAAAAACGGGATGAAACAGCGAAAAAAGTCGGCGAGCGAAGCGAGCCGAGAGGTGGACGCCGGCTTTCCCCTTCCAAGATGCCCGTTCGGTTCACCGATTTTTCTGCCTTTTTCCCTCACTGCGGAACCCGGGCTACCCCCGGTCTGCTGGTCTGTATGTAATCAGAAGCCCATCATGGGCCCATCATGGGCCCATCACGGGCTCCTGAGGTAACTCGATGAATATCTTACCAGTGCAGTTGCTTGTCATCCTAGCGGCACAAAAACAAGGAAATAAAAACTGATAAAGAAAACAGACGAGTGCCAACCCGAGAAAGACGAACTCAGTAGTGTGAGTATGGTACTTGGTCCTGCTATGAGCCTCCTCTGAGATGTATATGACTGTTAAAACGACGCTTGCTCCGTACGTGAACCAGTGTAGTACAAACCACACACTGTAGGCTGACACGGTTCTGAAGACAACTGAGCAAAGGTCTTCATGTATTCTTATAATTTCATTTAGGGTCCCGTTTTGAACAGCCTGGATGAGCCTGAAAGCATCTTGTGAAAAGGTACCTGAGCCCAGAAAAAAAATAAAACATTAGAATTATATTTGTGGATACTGCATGATCATGATGAAAAGGCGTTTATATGTTTGGTTGTTTCCTTATAATGTCTCAACTTTTCAGGGGTACCCAACGGGAAATTTTGAGAAAAAGACCTAAAAACAATAAAGCATGAATAAATCTTTCTGAAACGATTTTAAGCATTTTGGGAGATTGCTGGGAAATGTTTATCTGTTCCTTACTCCCAGCAAGACTAATGGAAGAGTTCCCAGCCAGTAAGGTGCACCTACAACCCGCAACCTGACTTACTGGGAAGTTTCCCAGCAGACGTATGTCAATATATTACTGGGCAATTTGGGTGTGGACGTGAGGCAAAATTGTGGGCGGGGGGCGGGGGTGGGGGGGATAGCAGCTATTCCGGACATCAAATAAACTTATACACCCTGAATTGTCCCAGAGACACTTTCCTTCCCAGGACATATTATTTTTTCCAAATCTCCCAGCCAACAAAAATTTGCCTGAAGAACAGGTATTTTGAGGAAGAGATCCATTGGGTGCCCCTGACTTTTAGCTGAAGGCGTGGTGGACCGTCCAATTTAGCCCGAACAAAGGGTGGGGGGAGCATAAAGGGGAGACAAGCTTTGGTCAATTGTGCATTATGCATCATGGTATAAAACAAAGAACAACCCTCACTTTTGTACAGGTCTACGCATCCTCGGAGGCCGGCTTAGCCTCGGACATCAGACGCTGTTCAGGAAATGAGCCCGCCTTCCTCCCCCAAACAGAAAGAGTGGCGAAACGATCCTAACCCTAACGACTCAATCTTACTTACCTAGGCAGTTCCACATGCTTTTGAAATATCCATCTCCGATCGCCCAGGAAATATTTTCTAGCCAATCAGAAATAGAGATCTCCAATGCTGCTGGAACTGGTTAGGTTGTGATTAATTGCCCACAAACTAACGTTAATTATGGGGAATGCATGTTCGTAGATGGGTGACACATGACAGTTTCAGAACTGATAAGCTTGTGGCCCTCGTGTCCGCAACGGATTAGAAACCGTCCTTCCAGATGAAATTGGAGTGGAGATGTTGGTATTTGAGAGGAGAGAACTGAAACCGAAGTACCCGGAGAAAAATATTACCCTATGGAGCGGAGAAGAGAGTCAATAACAAATTCATTACATATGTGGCATCGGTTATGGAACTCGAACTCGACTTTGTGTCCATCCTATCTTCCCGAACATGGCTTTCCCTTCATCTTTTATAAAAACCTTGAATTTTGTCAATTTGCTGATTTTGTACTTCGCCTTACAATGACGGTTAAGGCCAAGTAAAAAAAAAAAAAACCACTGTTTCTCGTCCCCGCCCGCTTCATTTTTTTGGGACGTTTCTCTTTTTTTATTATTTGTTATTAGTAACGTTTGTACGAACAAAAACTAACAGGCGTTACTTTTACTTCAGTTCTCCTCAATTGAGTACAAAGAAAACTCTAAATATATAAAAAGAGATGGCTTTTGTCTGCGTTTTGATTTGAACTGAAGCTAAATAGGGGTTCCATAATGCAGGGCTGTCAACCCCCCACGTCTTCAAATATTGAGAATTGATTGGGAAGGGATGATAGATGACGTCATATCGCACGGTATATGACGTCATTTGTGCAAAAATACTCGCTGAGCCGACCGTCACGAATTTGCAATGTTTCAAATTATTGCGTACATTGCAATGGCATAATATACCATACCGAAGTTTATGAGGAAACGTTCGATGTTAACAGTAAAATGGCTCAAACAACTTTTAAAAAAGTTTATTGAAGGAAAGTCGAGTCTACAACTTAATGGCAAACTTCGGTGAATATCTGGGAGATTTCATACTCTAATCTGGAGACTGGGAAATACGGTCCAAAATCTGGAGTCTCCCGAATTATCCGGCACAGTTGGCGAGAGTTGACAGCACTGCCATTCTGTCTTGCATTCGCCGATCCACTGTGTTTTTTTGTGGAAGTAAGGTCGATTTAGTAATTCAAGAAGACTGCTACCCGTTCTGCAGTGTATGCCAAAGAAGAAAATCACGAGAGCTTTCAGGCAGGCTAAATCATAGTCCTATTGGTGTTTTTAATGAAATAACAAAAAAAGGCGCTCGCCCGCTCTCTTTTTTATAGAAATCCGGACGAGAAACATTTCTTTTTTTTTTTTTTAACTTAGCCCAAGAATGAAAACCTAGAAAACAAAGTAAGGGGCATAATTTAGCCTGTTCCAGGCTCTCAGTCAGTGAAGATGAGCGAAAAAAGTGACAGTGCTAGCAGTGAAATAGCGAACGAGCGAAAAACGGCGGGAAGAAAGAACGGGAGACTGCTCTACTACTTCAAGGACTCTACTATACCGTCTCTCACCAGCCCCCACGCAGTTTTTGCGCAACGTTTCTCGATCCGCTTTCCCCACCATCTTGAAGCCTGGAACAAGCTAGGCATAATTCGGTTACTCTCTATTAAGTATCCTTACCTATAGCTGCAGTACTAACTGCGAAGACGTGACAGGTATTGATAGATGTCCAATGAGCCAATACTTGCCCCGCTATTCCTGCCATTTCGGCAAGAGAAGAGGTGGAATTAAGCATCTCGATGCTTGATGGTGAAAGGTAAATTGAGACTACTAAACACAAAAGCGACGTGTTAATGAAAGTGAAAGCGAAAGATAACAAAGTTACATCGGTGTTGTTGAGGTCCTTTGTTAACGTCTCTGATGGGGCCACTAACGCCGAGTCCATCCGTTTAGCCACTACAAAAGAACAAACTAAAACAACATAGGACAAGTCTGCTGCAAGGGAAGCTATGGAGAAAATAATTGCGTAGCCAGTTGAAAAGTCATCTTTATGAACCTGTGTTTTAGCTTCAGATGTTGAGTTTTGCATAAAGTGACAGTCGAAGTCTACGCAACCAAAATCGATAAATAACCTGTAGATAGTTTGAAAGATACAAACTAGCACAAATAAAACACGAGGAATATAGTTCCACAACTGATGTCCCCACAAACCGAGCGAACAAAAACATATCTTGAAAACAATCAGCATCGACGCAATGCATCTGTTTGTATGTTGTACATCGCGGCCATGACGGAAGTCGGTTTGCGAACGACGAAGGAGAGGTTCTCCTTCATTTTCATCTTCGTTTTCTATCACGGATTCTTGTGGACATACAGTAGCCATTTTTAAATGAAGGAAATGTCAGCCTCACCCATTACTAACAAAATAAGTCAGCTTCTCTCAATAAACGCATGAATGTTTTACTTCTGATTTGCATCTGGCATTCAGTGTGGCTGACCCTTGGATGACAGGACTGCTGCACCGTCCAATTTTCGTGCGGTCACGTGGTCTACGCGCCGAGAAGTATGGTCACAATAGTTTAATACCTCGACTCATTGCCAATTTGCGACAAATGTTCTCGCATGCTAAACTACGTCACGCAACTTTGTTTTTGTCCATTTTCAAAAAACCGAAAGAACTCAGTTGAAGAAAACATTTAGCCCTTTTTTTCGTGTTGGAGTTGAGAATAACTCTTGAAACCTTTCAAAATATTCGTCGCTTAAAATACCTGTCTCCAAATTGCCTCTTCCTCAGCGATTTCAGGATATGAACGGATATTTTTGCGTGACAATATTATTTGACATTCCTCGGGTGGAATTTGTTTATTACCGTTACGCTTTTGAAGCCTTCCTTCCGCTATTTCGTTTTCGAATAACGTGTGAAATCCTCTGCCATTTTCTCCAGCTCTGCACTGCCAAAACAGCTGATCCACCGCGTCGCTGTCTTCGCGCGACGTCAGTGCGTCTTTCTTTTAGTCTACTCACGATTGACGTCATCATGAAATAAAAGCAAAGTTGTCCAACGCTAGCCAACTGGTTATGAAGAACTGGCCGGTGGAATTACAGCCAAGCAAAACTTATTTTAGGGATATGTAATGGGGTAACTGCTTGCAGCACCAATCGAGGTAAAAAAGGGTAAGAAACGATAACTGTTCCTCCAAAAGACACACCAGACGGCCGATCCGTTCAAGTAGTTTGAGACGAAACTCTAAAAACTAACTGAAATCCTAATAGGCCATTTGCACGATGGCGTCATTTTACTACTACGACCAGAATCCTTTTCGTTTTTTCTTTCATATTTAAATTTTGTACTCCCAGTGAGGTTTAAATAACAAAAGCCTTAATTTGCACAAGAAAGCAAAACCCTAAAGGTTCAGGTCGTAGTAGTAAAATGACGTCATTGTGCAAATGGCCTAATGTAGGGCAGGAAAGGAAGACGGGGATAAGTTGCGGCAGAACATCCCCGTTCATAACTTTATTGCGCTCCACCTCAAAGCGCCTGCGGCACATGTGTCCGCAACCAAGCGCAAAAAAATGAGAGTTGGGGCGAAAAGGCCAGAACAAAGACGATGGGGGCGGGGGAGAGAAAAGGGGAGGGGAGAGTGAAAGGAGGGAAAAGAAAGAGGGGGAGGGAGAGCTGTAGACAAGGCCTTGAGGCCGCTATTCCGGACTCTTGAAATTATTCTGACGATATCATCTGTCAACAGAGACGTTTGATGATTATAACACCACAAGACACATTTAGCCTGTGAAGAGGCTCTCTATTCACAGGCTCGTGTATAGATATAGCCAAGCCTAAAAGCAGAGCTCCGACTGACCACCACATATATAAAGACGCGATCAGGACACAAAAATAGATCCTAACTAAATAAAACACAAAGTCCATACATGATATGTTTGCAAGTGATAAAGAAAGAAAAGAAAAAAATTAAACACAGTTGGGTGTAAATTTTTATTTACCAAGCACCTCCTTAGGTATAAAGTCATCAGGACCAGTCTAAGATTTTAATACAAACCTAAAAATATAATTATAAATTATCTTGTGCTTTTTACAAGACAATTTCATAATGACCTGTACAGAAATTTTACTCGCAAACTTTAGCTTTACTCCCTAGGGCAGACGGTAACAATAAGAGTCAATTTAACTAACAGGTGCGTAATTTGGGGAAATTGAGGGTGGAGTCATTTTTTTTAAGGTATAGGGTGGAGATATTTATTTATTTATTTATTTTATTTTTACTTGCCACACAATAATTACAAAAAATATAAGAAAAGAAGAAAAAAAGAAGTGGCGAGGAGACCTAACAGAAACTATAGCAGCTTATGAGAGGTTAGGCCTCCTCGAACTACGGGCTAGAGCTGTTTCACATCAGTTGAAGAAAAGATGGCGAAAAGTCGAAGATGGAAAGATTTATGAACTGTTTTCATATTTACTCAATAATTTAATCTTCAGTTTTTTCTTAAAAGAGGAAAGGGATTAAGAGTTGATGACCTCGTTGTCAAGTGAATTTGCTCCTTGGAATTTATTGTTTTTAAGCTTAGAAACCGGCAATAAAAATTCCAGCGGACCAATGTGACGCATATACGCGCATGTGCACGCCATGGGGAAGATGAAAGTTATTTAAGCTATGCGAGGAAATGAACCTTTTGATTGTTCAAAAAAGACATGCCCATTGCATGTATGTGTTTCGTTTTTCATTGCGCAATATTTTGTAGAAGTAGGTCGGTCGAAAGGGTAAAAAACAAGAAGTTAAAACAAGCCACGGTGAGAATCATGTTCAAACAGCACATGTAAAGACCACGTGGCGCTTATGGCGCAGCCTCCCCGTGTAAACCTTTTCAAGAACACCCCCGATAAACAGACAGCAGTCTGGATTAAATAGTGCTTTGTTCTCGGCACAACCTATCCCAATGGTTTCTGTGAAATTGCTATACTTTTGAAAATGCTAAAGCAGTAAATAGTCTGGATTAAATAGTGCTTTGTTCTCGGCACAACCTATCCCAATGGTTTCTGTGAAATTGCTATACATTCGAAAATGTTGCCTGAGAAAACATCCGTCATTTGGCGACGCTACCACTGGTTTCCCCGCCAAATGACGTCTGAGAAACGAGCGAAGAGATTCCATGCTGATTACGCGTCACTACCCAGATCTTGGTAGTGCTTCTGATTGGCCGTGACGCGTGGTTAATTTGATTCAACCAATCAGAAGCACTACCCAGATCTGGGTAGTGACGCGTCATCAGTATGGAATTTCTGCGCTCGTTTCTCAGACATCATTTGGCGGGGAAACCAGTGGTAACATCGCCGGCCAAATGTCGGCTGTTTTCTCAGGCTATCGAAAATGCTAAAGCAGTAAATAGTCTGAGTAAATAGTACTTTGTTGCCGGCACAACCTATTCCAATGGTTTCTGTGAAATCGCTTAACTTGCGAAAGTGCTAAAGAAGTATACAGCCCGAATGTGTCAAAAGAAGTGATACAGCAAACCCGTGAGTCCAAAGAAGAAAGAAAGCCATGCTAGCGATGTATTAAAAGTTATCCGCCCAACTTTAAACCCACATCGTCTCCTCTCAGCGTAGGCAACAAACATGGTTAGTTGGTTACGATCTTTTAATGGATGACCTTCATTCCAGTCGTCATTTGTACTGCAGTTTATTTTCTCCCAGATACCTTGAAAAAGAAAAACGGACAAAGTACTGCAATTATGAAATCGTTATTACGAGCAAGGTACCACAACATACTTCATTATGGTACTCCTGGTTTAAATACTTCTTTAGAGATTCCCATTATGGAAAGAGATACGTAGACTGTAGACCTTGCCACAGCTTGCGTGGCAAGCTTTGGGCGAGGGAACACAACGGGGCGCAGGGTGTCCCAGGCTTCAACGCTTCTCCCCCCTCCCCCCACCTCAGGGATCCAATTTTTACTAAAAAAAATCCGGAACCCAGTACCTGAAAACCGGCGATCCACAGCGTGGAGTCCAGAATTCAAGACCAGTGGCGGATCCAGGAGAGGGGCCCGGTGGATCCGTTCCCCCTTATTTTTACACCAAACTGAGGCCCGAAGGGCCGAAAAAAATTTTTTTGAGACCGGGTCCCCCCTTTTGTCAGGGTCTGGATGACCGGACCCCCCCTTCCCCCCTTATATAAAGGTCTGGTTCCGCCACTGAAGACTACCGATTACTCAGAGACTGAGAAAGTAACTTTATAGCGGTACATTGCAGCAATAAATTAATTTCTAAATTCTCCTTACCACTACAAGAATTTGTGATCCTGGCAGCAAACATACAAGGAAGAAGAAACAAGTAAACGTGGCAAACAAAGAATAAGCCGAGGTACACCAGGTTCAAGGTTGGTGTACCATACTTATTCCTCTCGAGGAATTCTTTGGAAATGTATATAACTGATAATACAACTCCTGCACCGTAACTGAACCAGTGAACCACAAACCACACGCTATAGGCTGATACGGTGTTGAAGACTACTGTACACAGGTTTTCGTAAATGTCTATGACGTCATCAAGAGTCTTATTTTGCTCCAGGTTCTGGATATGTCTAAAGGCATCTTGTGCAAAAGTACCTGGTGTATAAAAGAGAACCAAGCCTGATTATGGTATTATGAGCCAGAGCGGGACCATGAAGTATTAGAAAAATACAAGTGGAACAATACTGAATTAAACAGCTGGGCGTAACTGAAACGGAGCGAAAAAATTTGTAAAAGAAATTGTAAATTGTAATTTGTTTACCCACGGAGCACTTAGGAGTTGATGAGAACTCGTTAAAATTTGTCCGTGCGTTCCAGATCGAATTGGAGTTTGGAAGCGTTGGTTTTTAAGGAGAGGGGAAAAGCGGAATACCCGAGAAAAAAAACAGTCTCGGAGCAAGAGAGAGAACCAACAACAAACTCAACCCACATATGGCGTCAACGCCAGAATTCGAACCAGGGCCAGATTGGTGGGAGGAGAGTGTTCTCAACCTTGCGCCTCAAACAGGCGTAGTCAATCGATAGAAATCGATATCGGAAATCAATCGATACACTCGATATCAATCGCCGATCGCTATCGTTTGATATCGGTAATCGATAACAATCGAACTCACAAAAAAATCGATTTTTATCGATTGGCAAAAATCGATAACAATCGATAATCGATAATCATCGATGACAGTCGATAATCCAAAAGAGTATTTATTTCAAACATATTACTGAAGACTGGCGTTGTTATCTAGTAAACGAATATACGAGAAAGGCTTTTAAGGTTAAGCAATTTATTATCGATTTCATCGTCTAGTCAAGGCGGAGTGTTCATCCCACTTGGTTTTACATGTCCACTCATTTCAGCGTTATCTTACGTTTCTTTCTTAATGCGACTAATTGACATCATAAAAACATTGATTTTGTTATTTATTCTGCTTCATCTTTTTAAAAGGCGTTGCTATAACGAGACTAGCCCAGGGTTGCACACCGCTACATTGGCCGCAGCTTCTTCTTCTTCCTGTATTATGAACTGCGCTGAAGCTGAAGATCGATAAAAAGACCAAACGTTCCTGTTGTTGTTTTTGTTCCTATAGTATTTTGTTGATAATTGTAAACCTATTGCATGCTATGATGATTGAATGACTCAATAAAACCATACAGACAACATTGTGTCGATGATTAACTTGTAAAGCGACAACAATCTTTTCCGATAACATTCGATAAATCAATTTCTTTATCGATTTCTATCGATTGGTATCGGAAATCGATATCAATCTTCGATTGTTGTCGATTGCTATCGATTGATATCGATTATCGGTTTATCGACTGACTACGCCTGGTAGCAACTGCAGAGCTTCAATTCGCTTGTATCGCCGAAAATAAGAAAAAAATATGTGAATGTCTTTAGATATATTCATTCTTGCTCGAAATTCCAAGGTTAAAACCAGTTCCGTCCCACTGAAGCTTTGTATCAATGGGCACCCAAAAGTGACAAGTGTACTGATTAATTAACCTTTAATTTTTTAGCCACAAATCTGGGGAGGGGAAGTGGCCTTTTCAAAGTATGACTTACCAAGTGCAAACGAGCTGACAGCAAACACATGACAGGTTGTAATTGCCGTCCATTGTGCGAAAAACTGCGCACCCACTCCAGTTGCGAGTATGTCAAAAAAGGAATTTCGAGGTTGACTCCAAATTATGGCATAAAACACTGCCACTGAGCATAGAAACAGCGTTGTTATAACAGTAAACGCAAAACACAAGCAGTGGACGTTCTTTTTGTCCAGATCATTGTTGTTTGCATCTAGAGATTCAGAAGGAGTTATTAATGCAACGTAAGTGTTCCTTCCTGTTGCGATGAAACAACCAATGAAAAGAAAGTAAGAAATGACAGCCGCTACTGTGACGATCGTGTAAAGAGCGTTTGCAATTTTCCTGTCATCTTTATGATGTGAAGTCTTGTTCTTATCCGTTGAATTTTGTAGAAAGCCGCAATCAAAGCCGGGACAACCAAGCACAACATAAAAATCGTAAACAGCTTGATAAACGACGATTGCCCCGACTAAAACCCGAGGGATGTAATTCCACAGCTGATGTCCCCATAGACCAAGAGAACAAAAACAAATCTTGAAAATAGCCAGCACCAAAGTATCACATTTACTTCTTTGCAGTGTCTCTCGGCCAGAGCGGAAGTCGATTTGCTGGCGATTGTGGGGTAGAAGAGGATCTCCTTCCAAGGATACATAGTCCTCCTCTGTTTCAGAGGAGTCGTCTCCACTGGCCATTTTTTCAAATTAGGGTAGCATTTTCTTTAGACGTAATGTATCATACTGCAGATCAGTTCCCTTCATCATCCTCAGCATCATAAGTTTTACTTTCGGTTTCAGTGTGCACCCAGCTATAAGAATTAGTAACAAATATATCACGTGATTTCCTAACCGCGTGTCTTAATATCGGTGCAGAGTTTCAATCTTGTTTTGGTAGAATAAACGACGATCGATTATAGTTGGCGTTGGTGTTCGATACGATTTATTAAATGGCACCCGTCGTGGGGCACTGATACCCTGAGACTCGACAAGACAAAATGGCCGAAAAACTAGCGCGTACTCGCGCCAAACGTGGTGGGAATCGAAGTGTTATGACGAAATTATCCAACGAAGCGAATGACCTTCTTGAAGTTGAACCGATCAACAAACAACGCCTGGATTTTATTGCTGCTTCACTAAACGAGTAGTTAAATTTGGTCAAAACGTTCGACGAGGAAATTATAGCGAATTGTGCTGTGGACGAAATCGAAGCAGAAATACAGGAATCGGATGAAATTAATTCACGAGTCATGGATCTTTTAATTCAATTTTAATAATACAGACATTTAGCGTCAGTAAGGTATCGTAAGCTGGACGGTGTGATTAAAAGGCACTTACATAAACGCCCATTTCAGATCATATCACTTTTGTCAAAATCATTTTCTATCCGCAATTACAAAGGGTGTATCTTGGATTCACTTATGCTTGAAGGAGATGAAGATATGCATTGTTCGTTTTTTTGAGTAGCCCTTTGTCTTTGAGCATAGTTTAAAATATCTGCTGTTTTCTGTGGCCAAAAAGTAATACTCGCGGCACAAAAGAGGCTCTCTTCACTGGCTCTTATGCACATCCACCGTCTAACAGATATTTATAAAGTTGTCTCTTTGCAAAAAAAAAAATCAATTTTTGAAGTTTCAAAATTTGAGAAATGTCCATGGATTTCAAAACGTTCGCACTACAGTCTCAGACAACCTAGTTCATTACCCCTAGAGACTTGCTCCTCCGATTTCGTTTAGTCCGCCTCCTCCTTGGATCGCACCTCCCCGTAAAAAAACCTGGCTACGGCCCTGTTCTGGACATGCTCAACAGAGGTAAGTTGCTTCCAATGTTTTGATTTAGATGCAGATGACCATCAAATATATACGGTGGCCGATAGAAACCAAAAACTACAGAACTCGAAAATAGAAAACCCCAGACCAAAAACAGAAATACAATCCAAATTTTGACTTAACCGAAGCACAAAACCCAAAACAGAAATACACCCCAAAACTGAAAGAATGTAAAACGCCAAATAGAAACACCCATACAAAGCTGGAATCATAAAATACAAAACAGAATATAACAAAACCAAAATAGATAACTTACAACCAGAAAAAACATACCCTGTAGCAGTCTCTCAGATAGTAGGAACGTCATGAAGAGGAGATCAAGGTAAAATAAGACGCGCGTTATCTAGGAAAGAGGGCTTCGTAGGATTGAAGTCGCGAAAACAAGGTCGTTTTTTCGATTCAGTTTTCACGATCTCTACACAAAACTATTTTGGAGCCCAACATGGACTAGAAAAAATAGAAACGGAAATTCTAAAACGGAAATAAAAGAAAACCCAAAACAGAAATACGAATAGAAAACAGAACCACAAAACCCAAAAACATAGTCACAAATTTAACACATGTGATGGTTTTGCAAAATGCCTCTTCAGGCTACTAGACAAATCACACAATAGTCATCATGCTGTAAATGAAGATTGTTCCCAGGCTCTTCTCCCGTTGTCTATCGATCAGGAGACGCCGGGTCATAGACGTTTCCTTAGCCTTCTGCCCCTTTTAACCGGTGGGGGCTTCCGCCCAAGGACCGGAAGGCTGTACCATAACATACTCACTCCCTACCCCACCCCCTTTTTGTTTTTCCCGCGCATTTCTCTTTGCGCCGTCCCCACAATGTGAACGCCGGGAACTCCGTGGAAGTGTTGTGGTAGTCATGTCCTTTGTGTTGAACATCTCCTCTAAAGTATGGTATGACATGCTGAGCCAGTGTATTTGCCCAAAATTAACTTGTATATTAAGCCCTGGGCACCACATACAAGGGACTGTAAATATCTGATTTAGAATAACTTCCGCTTTGCTGTCTTTAATAAAGAAAGGATGTGAAGACTATGCAGTGTAGGAGTGGAAGACATTCAGTAACACTTGCAGTATATGTAGTTTTGATGAAAATATCAACCTTATCAACATCCACAAGAAATCATAATTACAACCATTTACCAAAAGATTATTGCGGAAAAAAACTTTAATATTGAGTGACGTGTTAAATATTTCAAGTAAATATGGAAATTATTCAAATTTTAGTCTGCTTTCTACACGGAAAACCCTCAATGGTTAACACGCAAACCCTGTCGCAGACTCTGTTAATAAATAACTACTTATTATGAAAACAAGAATTCAAATGTCCCTCCTCCTTCAATCCGAACCATTTAAACACTGCTAGAGCCCGCGGCGGGGTCGGCAAAAGATCTGGTAACGAAGTTAGACTTGGTATATATATCGTCAAATTAAAAGATCAAAAAAAGTGGTAAAGTAAACCTAAAAGACCAAAGAAAAAAGAAAACCAAGCCAAACTAGTAGTGAACGTGGTTCTACCGACTTTGAACCCACATCGTCTCTTCTCAGCGTAGGAAACAAACATTGTTATATTTCGACGATCTTTAAACGGATGGCCATCGTGCCAGTCCTCAGATATGCTGCAGTTGATCTTCTCGTAAATACCTTTGAAGGAAATGAAATATTAGAATACTCATCTTTACTCAAAGTTTATTTAAAACCTGTTCCGACTATTACACAAAGGACAGACCAAACAGGTCTAATCTCTTTATATAATATCAGAAGCGATGGTCAACAGAACGCAACTGGATACCTTTTCCAGTGATGGGGCTGCATGGTGCCGGCATCGATATCATTCATCAAATGTGTATGCAATTTTTAGCCCAATTTTTGCCATACGCGCGCCCCAACTTGAAAACAAATTAAAATGGCGTCGGAAATAACCTTTCTGGGAGATGAATAAATTCCATTTCTTTCATCTTTGTCTATTTGAAAGCAAGACCGCTGGTCATTCTTCCTTTGAGCATGCGTTGTATATAGAGAATACTTCATGGAAAGAGCTGGCGTACGGTATTTACGCACGAGTTGTTGACGTATCAGAAATCGAACGAGTGAGCGCAACGAACGAGTAAGATTTCTGATACAAAAACAACTCGTGCGTAAATACCGTACGCCAGCACTTTCCATGTGGTATTGTGTTTATTATATACATAACGAGACATTCATCATTTTGGCGGCCTTTTTATTTTAAATCTTTCAAAAATGCTTATTTGCGGCTGTGTATAAAAGTGGGACGGGGACAAGGAGACGGGGACATCGGGACGCGTGTGTGGGGACTTGTGATTTAGGGACGCGAGACGAGGGACTTGAGGACATTAAGTATGGGACGCGGGGACGTGTGGGACGGGGTCGCGGGGACGTCAAATACAGGGACGCAGGGGACGCGGGATGTGTATAATTATTGCAAAAGTCGGAGGTAAATGCGATATCTCTGTGTTATTTATGGTCAACATTAGATTCCATCTTCCAAAACCACATGGGACACCTTATGATGCTTACACAAAATATTTCTTTATAATTTTAAATTTATTTGGAATCGAATGCTGCTACTCTACATAAATCTTGGCGACCGCAACCCACCCTACCCTGCTTTGGCCTCCAATATTCCTTCAGCAAGAAGTCCAGGACAACGGTTTCACTTGGCTTCAATGCAGGGGTCCTCGCCGAGTCTTCGCTTCATAAACAGGCATGGAGGAACCTAAGGAGGGCAGGGTGGGTTGCCTTCACCAAGTGACTGATATCGCATTTACCTCCGACTTTTGCAACAATTATTCACATCCCGCGTCCCCTGCGTCCCTGTATTTGAATTCCCCGCGTTCCCGTCCCACACGTCCCCGCGTCCCATACTTGATGTCCTCAAGTCCCTCGTCTCGCGTCCCCAAGCCCCAAGTCCCCACACACGCGTCCCGATGTCCCCGTCCCCTTGTCCCCGTCCCACTTTTATACACAGCCCTTATTTGCCGCTACACACTTGCCGAAAAATGACAACGAAAACGAAGTATCAGCTTTTTAGTAAAAACGTTTATTAAAAACATAAATGACGGTAAGGATATGAGGTAATCCAAGAACTATAAGTAATCTTCACTGTTTGTTGTCAATGCACAATTGAAAATGAGTGAATTTAAGTAAAATGGCCGGTTTCAATATAAGCTTAAGCTTAAATGAAAGGCAAAGTAGCTTCGACAAAAAGCAGAACAAAAGCTTACGTCGCGTTCTGTTTTTCCCTTTCCGCTGTTGTTTCGCCGGCTCTCTACCGTTTTCTTTATCGACAGTGAAACAAACGAAACTATTCCACTCCATTTCCGAAATGTTTTTCACTTTTTTAGCGAGAAAAACTCTTTGAGTAAAACTTTTCTCGTTGAATGTGTGCGAAGCGGCCCTACAAGCTGCAATAAAAGGCGGGAATTTTGGCGCGAAACTCACACACCTCTGTGGCCTCTGATTGGACGTATCATTTTTCTCACACGTGAAAAAACATCGTTCGCGATTCTGATTGGACGTATCATTTTTTTCACGTGTGAAAACCATCGTTCGCTCCTCTGATTGGCTAGAACTAATTTGCTTACGAAAATTTACGACATAGCTTTTTGGTGAGTATTTCTAAGTATGTATATAATAAATCGAGATATGAAGCACTTGGGTTGGGAAGTTCAGAGAGCACTCACGGAATGTTGCAACACGATCACCTATCACCTGAAATTCCACGAGGGATCTTCGCGAAGTTGCGGGTGCCCATGTGAGTTTATGACGTAGACGGTGGCGCAATTTGTTCTTAAAACAGCGAATTGGCTATTGCGACCTGAACTAGCAGGCGCCGGTTGTTTTAGGGCGAAGGGTGAAATTTCAAGGACACGCGCCCGTTTTCCTCATTAAGCCACGTTGAATACCCCGGTGATTTTTTTAGATAACCTAGCTAAAATAACAGATTTTTTTAAAAAAAAACATGAGCACACTAATAACAGTGAATGCGAACTCAGCAGTGAGTGAATAAAAGACATACACCTGCAGTTGAAGTTTTTAATAATTGTAATACTACTCTCTCTATATATGGCTTCTACAGACCACGAGCCGCTAATAAGGGTACGCTTCTTATTCCTATGAAAAATCACCTTTTTTGAGCAAGGCCGATGTTTCCAAGAAATATAGAACGATCGAACGTGGGATCACTAGGGAAATTTTTCTGACAAGTCGCAAATTTTATCTTTGCCTTGTCTAGATCCGCAAGAGATCCAAAGTCTCAGAGAAACAGTGAGTGGCAGATCCAGAGGAGGGGCCCGGGGGAGCCGGCCTTCCCCTTATTTTTAGACCAAACTGAGCCCCTAAGGGCCGAAAAAAATTTTTTGGAGACCGCTCCCCCTCCTTATCTAAGGGTCAGGATGACTGGCACCCCCCCTTATCTCAAGGTCTGTATCTGGCACTGACACTGTCTACACCCCTATAGGGAATTAATAATAATAGGCCAAGTTTTCCGCCTTTTCCCCTCACTGCGGAGTCTGTTCCCGGGCTACCCCCGGTTCGCTGGTATGTATGTAACTTGATGAATATCTTACCAGTGCAGCTGCTTGTCATCCTAGCGGCACAAAAACAAGGAAATAAAAACTGATAAAGAAAACAGACGAGGATCAACCCCAGAAAGACGAATTCAATCGCGTGAGTGTGGTACTTGGTCCTGCTATGAACCTCCTCTGAGATGTATATGACTGTTAAAACGACGCTTGCTCCGTACGTGAACCAGTGTAGTACAAACCACACACTGTAGGCTGACACGGTACTGAAGACAACTGAGCAAAGGTCTTCTTGTATTCTTATAATTTCATTTAGGGTCCCGTTTTGAACAGCCTGGATGAGCCTGAAGGCGTCTTGTGAAAAGGTACCTGAGCCCAGAACGAAATAAAATATTAGAAAGATAAATGTAATCAAGTAGATACTGTATTATCATGATGACAGGGCGTTTATATATTTGGTTGTTTTCTCATAATGCAGGGCTGTCAACTCCCCACATCTCCAAATATTGAGAATTGATAGGGAAGGGATATTGATGACGTCATAATGCACGGTACATGACGTCCTTTGTGAAAAAAAAAAAAAAGAAAACGCGAGAAAAAGATGTTGTTGGAATCGTAACATTTGACCTAACTGGTTAACTTCCCACCAATCACATTATTGCTTATATTACATACCGGAGTTTGTGGGGAAACGTTCGATGTGAACAGTAAAATAGCTCAAACAACACAAGATATTTGAAATTTCATTGTCAAAGAGTCGAATCTACAAGAAATGGCAAACTTCGGCGATTATCTGGGGATATCAGACTCTAATCTGAAGACCGGGAGAAACGGTTAAAAATCTGGAGTCTCCCGAATTATCCGGGAAAGTTGACAGCACTGTAATGTCCCTTTGAGAGGAGAGAACTGAAACCGAACTACCCGGAGAAAAGTTACCCTATGGAGCGGAGAAGAGAGTCAAGAACGAAGAACGAATTTATCACATACGTGGCATCAGTTACGGAACTCGAACTCGCCATTGTATCCATCCTATCTTCCCGAACATGGCTTTCCCTTTATCTTTTTAAAAAACTTTGTCTTTTGTTAATTTGCTAATTTTTGTACTTCGCCTTACAGTGACGGCAAGAATGAAAACCTAGTTATCGATAAAACAAAATAAGGGGCATAATTTAGGCTGTTCCAGGCTCTCAGACAGTGAAGATGAGCCAAAAAAGTGACTGACCTAGCAGTGAAATAGCGAACGAGTGAAAAAGGGTGGGAAGAAAGAAGGGAAGGCTGCTCTACTACTTCTATGACTTCGATGACTTCACAATAGCGTCTCTCCCCAACCCCCAAGCGGTTTTCGGCCAAAGTTTCTCGATCCGCTTTCCCTATTATTTTGAAGCCTGGAACAAGCTAGGCATAATTCGGTTACTCTCTATTAAGTATCCTTACCTATAGCTGCAGTACTAACTGCGAAAACGTGACAAGTATTGATAGATGTCCAATGAACCAATACTTGCCCCGCTGTCCCTGCGATTTCGCATCTCGTTGCTTGATGGCAAGAGGTAAAATGAGACCGCTAAAGACAAAAGCGACGTGTTAATGAAAGTGAAAGTGAAAAATAACAAAGTTACATCGGTGTTGTTGAGGTCCTTCGTTAACGTCTCTGATGGGGCCACTAACGCTGAGTCCATCCGTTTGGCCACTAAAAAAGAACAAACTAAAACAACATAGGACAAGTCGGCCGCAAAGGAAGCTACGGAGAAAACTGCGTTGCCAGTTGAGACGTCATCTTTATGAACCTGCGTCGACTTAGCTTCGGATGTTGAGTTTTGCATAAAGTGACAGTCGAAGTCTACGCAACCAAAATAGATAAATAACCTGTAGATAGTTTGAAAGATACAAACTAGCGTAAATAAAACACGAGGTATATAGTTCCACAACTGATGTCCCCACAAACCGAGCGAACAGAAACATATCTTGAAAACATTCAGCATCGACGCAATACGTCTGTTTGTGTGCTGTGCTTCGCGGCCTTGACGGAAGTCTGTTTGCGAACGACGAAGGAGAGGCTGTCCTTCATTTTCATCTTCGTTTTCTGTCACGGATTCTTGTGGACATTCAGTAGCCATTTTTAAATGACGGAAATGTCAGCCTTACACATTAATAACAAAATAAGTCAGCTTCTCTCCATAAACGCATGAATGTCTTACTTTCGGTTTGCATCTGGTATTCAGTGTGGCTGACCCTTGGATTACAGGACTGCTGCACCATCCGGTTTTCGTGCGGTCATGTGGTCTACGCGCCTAGAGGTATGGTTACAACAGTTACGAGAAGTTTGATTTTTGACTCATTGCCAGTTTGCGAAAAATGTTCTTGCATGGTAAACCACGTCACGCAACTCTGTTTTTGTCCATTTTCAAAAAACCGAAAGACCTCGGTCGAAGAAAACATTTAGCCCTTTTTTTCATGTCGGAGTTGAGAATAACTCTGAAAACTTTGAAAAGATTCGTCAAGTAAAACACCCGTCTCTAAATTGCCTCTTTCTCAGCGATTTCAGGATATGAACGGATATTTTTGCGTGAAGATATTATTTTTCATTTCTCTAGTTGAATTTGTTTATTCCTGTTATGTTTGTGAAGCCTTCCTTCCGCTATTTCGTTTTCGAATAACGTGTGAAATCTTCTGCCATTTTCTCCAGCTTTGCCCTGCCAAAACAGCTGATCCACCGCGCCGCTGTCTTCGCGCGACGTCAGTATTGACGTCAATCATGAAATAAAAGCAAACATCTTCCAAAGTTGTTCAACGCTCGCCAACTGGTTATGAAGAACTGGCCGTTGGAATTACAGCCAAGCAAAACTTATTTTAGGGATATGTAATGGGGTAAGGCTTACAGCACCAATCGAGGTAAAAAAAAGGGTAAGAAACGATAACTGTTTGTCTAAAAGACACACCAGACGGCCGATCCGTTCAAGTATTTTGAGACAAAACTCTAAAAACTAACTGAAATTCTAATAGGCCATTTGCACGATGGCGTCATTTTACTACTACGACCAGAATCCTTTTCGTTTTTTCTTTCATATTTAAATTTTGTACTCCCAGTGAGGTTTAATTTGCACAAGAAAAAAAACCCCTAAAACTGTGGTCGTAGTAGTAAAATGACGTCATCGTGCAAATGGCCTATTCTAGGTTAGGAAAGGAAGACGGGGATAAGTTGCGGCAGAACATCCCCGTTCATAACTTTATTGCGCTCCACCTCAAGGAACCTGCGGCACATGTGTCCGCAACCAAGCGCAAAAAAATGAGAGTTGGGGCGAAAAGGCCAGAACAAAGAGGAGGGGGGCGGGGGAGAGAGAAGGGGAGGGGAAAGTGAAAGGAGGGGAAAGACAGAGGGGGAGGGAGAGCTGTAGACAAGGCCTTGAGGCCGCTATTCCGGACTCTTGTAATTATCCTGACGATATCATCGGTCAACAGAGACGTTTGATTATTATCACACCACAAGAAACATTTAGCCTGTGAAAAGGCTCTCTATTCACAGGCTCGTGTATAGATATAGCCAAGCCTAAAAGCAGAGCTCCCACTGACCACAAAATATATAAAGACGCGATCAGGACACAAAAATAGATCTTAACTAAATATAACACAAAGTCCGTACATGATATGTTTGCAAGTGATAAAGAAAGAAAAGAAAAAAAAATAAACACAGTTGGGTGTAAATTTTTATTTACCAAGCACCTCCTTAGGTATAAAGTCATCAGGACCAGCCTAAGATACTAATACAAACCTAAAAAATATAAATATAAATTATCCTGTGCTTTTTACTACAAGACAATTTCATAGTGACCTGTACAGAAATTTTACTGGCAAACTTTAGCTTTACTTCCTAGGACAGACGGCAACAATAAGAGTCAATTTAACTAACAGGTGCGTAATTTGGGGAAATTGAGGGTGGAGTCATTTTTTTAAGGTATAGGGTGGAGATATTTACTTATTTATTTATTTATTTATTTTATTTTTACTTGCCACACAATAATTACAAAAAATATAAGAAAAGAAGAAAAAAAGAAGTGGCGAAGAGACCTAACAGAAACTATAGTAGCTTATGAGAGGTTAGGCCTCCTCGAACTAAGGGGCTAGAGCTGTTTCACATCAATTGAAGAAAAGATGGAAAGATTTATGAACTGTTTTCATATTTATTCAATAATTTAATCTTCAGTTTTTTCTTAAAAGAGGAAAGGGATTAAGAGTTGATGACCTCGTTGTCAAGTGAATTTGCTCCTTGGAATTTATTGTTTTTAAGCTTAGAAACCGGCAATAAAAATTCCAGCGGACCATAAGCGGCCCAATGTGACGCATATACGCGCATGCGCACGCCATGGGGAAGATGAAAGTTATTTAAGCTATGCGAGGAAATGAACCTTTTGTTTGTTCAAAAAAGACATGCCCAGTACATGTATGTGTTTCGTTTTTCATCGCGCAATATTTTGTAGAAGTAGGTCGGTCGAAAGGGTAAAAAACAAGAACTTAAAACAAGCCACGGTGAGAATCATGTTCAAACAGCACATGTAAAGAAAAGACTGCAGATGTGTCTTCTATTCGTCTCCTGAGAGAAACCCGTCTTAACAAATAAAAGCGTAAACAACTTTAAAAGGAAATGCCAAAATGGATATAACAATAGTAACGTTCATTGAAAAAGCTGTATCAAACTACGTTTTTTTTTTACAGCAGAAAGGATTTTGTCAAATTTTGGTGTTTCATTTTCCGAAAAAATGGGTCGCTCGGGAAGTAGCCTTTTTAAAGCATGACTTACAAAGCGCAAACGAGCTGACTGCAAACACATGGCAAGTTGTAATTGCTGTCCATTGTGCGAAAAACTGCGCACCCACTCCAGTCGCGAGTGTGTCGAAAAAGGAATTTCGAGGTTGACTCTTCCAAATTATGGCATAAAACACCGCCACTGAGCATAGAAACAGCGTTGTTATAACAGTAAACGCAAAACACAAGCAACAGACGTTCTTTTTGTCCAGATCATTGTTATTTGCATCTAGAGACTCAGAAAGAGTTATTAATGCAACGTAAGTGTTCCTTTTTGTTGCGATGAAACAACCAATGAAAAGAAAGCAAGAAATAACAGCTGCGACTGAGACGATCGTGTAAAGAGGGTTTGCAATTTCCCTGTCATCTTTATGATGTGAAGGTCTTGTTCTTATCCGTTGAATTTTGTAGAAAGCCGCAATCAAAGCTGGGACAACCAAGCACAACACAAAAATCGTAAACAGCTTGATAAAGGACGATTGCCCCGACTAAAACCCGAGGGATGTAATTCCACAGTTGATGTCCCCATAGACCAAGAGAACAAAAACAAATCTTGAAAATAGCCAGCATCACATTTACTTCTTTGCAGTGTCTCTCGGCCAGAGCGGAAGTCGATTTGCTCGATCTGCTTGCGTTCGCGGGGTAGAAGGGGATCTCGTTCACCACCCAAGGATACATTGTCCTCCATTAGGGTAGTATTTTCTTCAGACGTAATGTACCATAAGATCAGTTCCCTTCATCATCCTCAACATGATAAGTTCAGTTTACTTTCGGTTTCACTGTGCTCCCACCCTTGCATGACCGGAAACGGTTTGAAAAACCAAATTAAGCATTTTTCTACGTAACGCAACGTTTGTTGTTCGCCATTTTGAAAATCAATAACCGCCAACCATATCCTCGCTGGCGAACGGAACGTCGCCCGAAGGGTGACCGAAGGCCGACGCTTGCAGGGCTACCGAGGAACGAAGTGCCGAGTAAAAGATCGGCTTACAGTATTTTATACGGTAAGCCGATCTTGCGAGCCCTCAGTCTCTTGGTTTGCGGTCTACAGAATGTGTAACGAAACTGTAATTGTAACGCGATCAAAACAACCCATTTTTAATTTTTCAGAGGTTTTCGACGGGTTTTAACACATCTCCTCTGGACCCTGTGGTAACAGATAAATCGTCTCGCGATAAAATAATATACTGTTCCCCTATAGAGCCTGAAATATACCCTCGGGTCTTGCATGCAGAAATAATCGAATTTGTACGCGAAAGATCTGTAAAAACGAAATTTCATCAGTCCTGATTACGTCGTTTTCTTTAGGGGGCGGGGGCGGTTTGGGAGGAAGCGAGCTATAATCCCCGACGCCCGCTCCCTCGGTACATTTAAAAATCAAGATAGCCGTGACGGTAAGACGCGGTATATCTAAACGATCTCACGAAAAAATAGGGGACTGCAAACATTCTACGTTTTCTTGTTCTGTGTTCAACACTATCGAAGCACAAAGCACGGATGGGCTCGATTATCAGCCTGTGTTCGGGATATGAGCCCGCGGAAGGAACAAGATCGGACATGAGAGAGCCGCGGAAATCACGAGTCCACCTACGTCCATGGCAACCACGTCTTGTAAAGCTGCGGAAGTGACGAATGTCATCAACGTGTTGCTTTATGAAATATCACGCAATCAGAATGGTGACCTATTTCACCTTTCAAAATTCAATTATTAGCAATCTAGCTGGTGACAACGGCAAAAAAGTCACTGAAAAAATAAGACGTGCAATGATATTTTAAGAGAGGTAAAGGACACGTCTACTTTTCCTGTTTCAGTTTGAAGGTTAAGTAAAGCAGTTCAGTGATTTTACTAAACTTTTGAGGTTACTGCTCCGATACATTGCATTTTGATACATAGTTTTTAATAGCCTACTCATAACAATTTACTCAGAGAGTATATTAATACTGATATTCATTTTTAAATAGACTAAAAAGAAGATAGTTGATACTAAGTGAAGAACACTCGCTTTTTATTCTAGGTATCTAAGGCACCTGCTGTATAAACTCCAGCACTGGCAAAGGGTTTCATCGATGTTCACAGAGTGATATTGGATCGCGTTAGTATATAATTGCCATTTTAATAATACAGACATTTAGCGTCAGTAAGCTATCCTAAGCTGGACGGTACGGTGTGATAAGTAGATACTTACATAAACGTCCATTTCAGATCATATCACTTTTTGTCAAAATCATTTTTTATCCGCAATTACATGAAGACATGCATTGATCGTTTTTTTGAGTAGCCCTTTGTTTTTGAGCATAGTTTAAAATATCTACTGTTTTCTGTGGCAAAAAAGTAATACTCGCGGCACAAAAGAGGCTCTCTTCACTGGCTCTTTTGCACATCCACCGTCTAACAGATAATAATACAGTTGTCTCTTTGCCACAAAAAAATCAATTTTTGAAGTTTCAAAATTTGAGAAATACCCATGTTTTTCAAAACGTTCGCAATACAATCTTAGACAACCTAGTTCATCACCCCCAGAGACTTGCTCCTCCGGTCTCGTACGCGTTTAGTCCGCCTCCTCCTTGGATCGCACCTCCCCGTAAAAAATCTGGCTACGCGCCTGATCAGGACATGCTCAACTGAGGTAAGTTGCTTCCAATGTTTTGATTTAGATGCAGATGACTATCAAATATATAGGGCCGGGCCGATAGAACCAAAAAACCACAGAACTCGAAAACAGAAAACCCCAGACCAAAAACAGAACTACAATCCAAATTTTGACTTAACGGAAGCACAAAACCCAAAACAGAAATACACCCCAAAACTGAAAGAATGTAAAACGCCAAATAGAAACACCCATACAAAGCTGAAATCACAAATCACAAAACAGAATATAACAAAACCAAAATTTAAGCAATAGAAAACGTTTTCCGTGTTTGCGCCTGAAATAAACACTCGAGGGGTTGGGAGAATTCTCGACAGCTATGCAAACCCCCGACTGCGTCTCGGGTTTGCATAACTGTCGAGAATTCTCCCAACCCCTCGAGTGTTTATATCAGGCTATGCAAATACAGGAAAAAGTTTTCTATTGCATTTATAAAATAACTTTCCCGAGAAAAAACGCGAAACTCTTTGTTATGGCACTGATTAAAAAAGAAATTCTTACCAGTCGCAAACTCTTGTACAAGAAGTCTTGCACGCGTAATCAGTTCTTGTTTTGCAAAAAGATGCTGTTCAAAATACAGATTTTTTTTCGGGGAAAAAAAATTGACACACCTTCTTTGTGAAGATTTTTCAAGTTTCAACCGACGGAGGAATGGGTAAATAAAGTAAACTTGTCGAATTTTGAACTCGAAAACCTTTTCAAATTCGCCCTTGCGTGATTAGCGCGCGAAAAGCAAACATCTTGACGCCACAACCATGTTTACATACTCTCACGCAAACACTCCTCTCGGCCAATAAGAGCGCGCGTTCTATCTTAAGATAACTTACAACCAGACAAAGAAACATACCCTCAGTACCAGTCTCTCAGATAGTAGGGACGTCATGAAGAGGAGATCAAGGTAAAATAAGACGCGCGTTTTCTAGGAGAGAGGGCTTCGAGAGGTCGTTTTTTCGATTCAGTTTTCACGATCTCTACACAAAGCTATTTTGCCGCCCAAAATGGACTAGAAAAAATAGAAACGGAAATAAAAGAAAACCCAAAACAGAAATACCAATAGAAAACAGAACCACAAAACCCAAAAACATAATCACAAATTTAACACTATCACATGTGATGGTTTTGCAAAATGCCTCTTCAGGATACTAGACAAATTACACAATAGTCGTCATGCTGTAAATGAAGATTGTTCCTCTCTTCTCCCCTTTTTTATCGATCAGGAGACGCCGGGGCATAGACATTTCCTTAGCTTTCTACCACTTTTAGCCGATGGGGGCTTCCGCCCGAGGACCAGGAGGCTGTCTGTACCTTATCTAGCCTGTTCCAGGCGTTATGATAGAAAAACATACTCACTCCCTACCCGACCCCCTTGCTGTTTTCCCCCGCGCATTTCTCTGGAACTCCGTGGGAGTCTTGTGGCAGTCATGCCCTTTGTGTCAAACATCTCCTCTAAAGTATGGTATGACATGCTGAGCCAATGTATTTGCCCAAAATCAACTCGTACATTAAGGCCTGGGCACCATATAAAAGGGACTGTAAATATCTGATTTAGAGTAACTTGCGCTTTGCTGTCTTTAATAAAGTAAAGATGTCAGGCTTTCAGAAAATAAATGTTCAAAATTCAGTTAATATTGTTGGAAGTCTCGGAGACTATGCAGTGTAAGAATACGAGATATTCAGTAACACTTGCAGTATATGTAGTCTTCACGAAAATATCAACCTTATCAACATCCAAAAGACATCATAATTACAACCATTTACCAAAACGATTATTGCGGAAAAAAACTTTAATAGTGAGTGACGTGTTAAATATTTCAAGTAAATGTGGAAATTATTCAAATTTTAGTCTACTTTCTATACTACACGGAAAACCCTTAATGGTTAACACGCAAACCTTGTTCTGGACTCTTAATAAATAATTACTTATTATGAAAACAAGAATTCAAATGTCCCTCCCCTTCCAATCCGAACCATTTAAACACTGCTAGAGCCCGCGGCGAGGCCGGCAAAAGATATGGTAACGAAGTTAGACTTAGTACATATATCATCAAAATTAAAAGATCAAAAAAAGTGGTAAAGTAAACCGAAAAGACCAAAGAAAAAAGAAAACCAAGCCAAACTAGTGGTGAACGTGATTCTACCGACTTTGAACCCACATCTTCTCTTCTCAGCGTAGGAAACAAACATTGTAATATTTCGACGATCTTTAAACGGATGGCCATCGTGCCAGTCCTCAGATATGCTGCAGTTGATCTTCTCGTAAATGCCTTTGAATGCAATGAAATATTAGAATATTCTTAACTCAAAGTATATTTATTAAAACCTGTTCCGACTATTACACAAAGAACAGACCAAACAGGCCTAATCTCTATATATAATATCAGAAGCCAGTGTAGGAGACCCCAACTGGATACCTCTTCCAGTAATGGGGCTGCATGGTTCCAACGATATCAGTCATCAAATGTGTATGCAATTTTTAGCACAATTTGTGCCATACACGCACCCCAAACAAAACAAATTAACATGGCGTCGGAAATAACCTTCTTGGGAGATGAATAAATTCCATTTCTTTTATCTTTGTCTCTTTATAAAGCAAAATTACTGGTCATTCCTCTGCTGAGCATGCGCTGTATATCGAGATATGAAGCACTTGGGAAGTTCAGAGAGCACTCAAGGAATGTCGCACACGATCACCTATCATCTGAAATTCCACGAGGGATCTTCGCGAAGTTGCCGGTGCCCATGTGAGTTTATAACGTAGACGGTGGCGCAATTTTGTTCTTAAAATAGCAAATCGGCTATTGCGACCAGAACTAGCAGGCGCCGGTTGTTTTAGGGCGAAAGAGGAAATTTCAAGGACGCGCGCCCATTTTCCTCGGGCGCGATCCATTCAACGAAAATTTCCGAAAATTTCGGTCTAAAACTCAATGGATCGGTTCGGTCCAACCGGAAAAATTTCGGAAAAACGGGTCCACCTTTTGAGGTGGACCACTTTTCCCGGTCTGACCGGTTGGAATTTTGGTTGAATGGATCGCGCCCCTCATTAAGCCACTCTGACGTTAAATACCCCCGCGGAATTTTTTAGATATCTTAGCTAAAATAACAGTTTTGTTTTAAAAAAACATTACCACACTAATAACAGTGAATGCGAACTCAGCAGTGAGTGAATAAAAGACTTATACACCTGCAGTTGAAGTTTTTAATCAGATTGTAACACTACTTTCTCTATATATGGCTTCTGCAGGCCACGTGCCGCTCATAAGGGTATGCTTCGTATTCCTTTGACTCTAGAATACATGTGTCCAACAGGGTACGAAAAATCACCATTTTTGAGCAAGGCCGATGTTTCCAAGAAATATAGAACGATCGAGTGTGGGATCACTAGGGAAATGTTACTGATAAAGTCGCAAATTTTATCTTTGCCTTGTCTAGATCTGCAAGAGATCCAGAGTCTCAGAGAAACAGTGCCTACACCCTATAGGGAATTTAAAATCTTATTCCCGGTTAGCCTCGGACCAGGCTTCATAGTGGGGAAAAAGGCCAAAAATAGGGTGAAACAGCGAAAAAAGTCGGCGAGCGAAGCGAGCCGAGAGGTGGACGCCGGCTTTCCTGTCCCTAGATTCCCGTTCGGCTCGCCGGTTTTTCCGCCTTTTTCACTCACTGCGGAGCCCGGGCTACCCTCGGTCTGCTGGCCTGTATGAGCTGTTCTGCGTCTTATATACGGTTAGTTATGAAGTTGATGAAATTGACTGAGGCTTGCAATCTAGTTGATTTTAAATGTTACCGGAAACAGGGAAGCTCTATCCCTAAGATGAGTGATTGAACTTTTAAAATACAATAATGGAAGAGTTCTTTTAGACATCCGAGGACATTATCTTACGGAAACGCAGTTTGGACATATAACAAGGGAACACCCAGATGCACTGGAAAGGGTTTTCGAAGACGTTGATGACTATGTTCACATGTTACCTGTCTAACTGAAGTCGTTACACACCACATTGACAACATTTGTAAAGGATTATCGCAAATACAACTTCTTTCTAATCCATTTAAGACTTGACCGAAACCGGAAACCGCGCATGAAAAGCCTCTGGTACTCAGAGTAGGTACACATCTTTAAGACCCGCTAATTTGCGGTGACGACTTGGTGAATGACAAAGCGAAAATGTGCAACGACGGCCGGTAATTTTATGACTACTACGAATCATTTGTTAAAAGTTCTTGGTCTGGTAGTTAAGTATCCATCTTTTCCCCTCCTTTTTCACAAACGCCAATAATATTAAACCTTTAAATATTTAAAACTTGAAACTCTAAATTTTTTGCTTACCAGCGTAAACGACCGGACAAATTGTCCGGCCATCTAAGGATTTGCCTGGACAAAACCAATTTTTGACCGGACATTGTCCGTTGACCGGCCGTTATTTGCAGCCCTGGTATGAACACCTGTACTACGGATATGTAACTCTCCACTATAAGTCAAAACGTAACATCCGGTGGTTTGTTTTACTCGCCAGGGCTTCACTTTTGTCAGTAACAACTAATTTAAGATAGACTGTGCACCTATCACTAAGCGGTATCTTCCACTATTTACCCCTCGGGGGTGCGGGGGGGCGGGGGTACTCAGTACAATGGCCTATACGGGAAGGCTACGCCTGAAAGGGGTACCGTTTTTCAGGCTTCAGGTATATGAAAGGGAAGGGATTTTACGGGTTAAAGTATATGAAAGTGTAGGGAAATCGGTTATTTCGGTATTCTTAAGGCTGTGAAAAAGTCAAGAAAACGTTCTGGTTTTGTGATTTATTCATATTTTAAATGCAGTGCCTTTACACTGGTTGAAAGGGATGCAAAATTCTAAATAAGTTATAAGAAAGGGGTATCATTTGTCGAAAGAAGGCATAGGAAAGAGGTAATTTTTCTGTCAAAATGGTATGTAAAAGCCGGATAAGGGGTTGGACCGACCTCCGAGAGGAGCCTCCCCGCATAAAACTTTGTTGAGTACCCCCCCCCCTCCGGTAATTACCGCAGCAGGAATAGCTCAGGCAGTACAGCGCTTGTCTGCAGAGCGGATGGTCGCGGGGTCGTTCTCTGCGGCCGCACCACTATTCAGGGTCTTAAGATAATTGAGAAATGATGGTATACTGCCTTTGCTTTGCAAACAGCTAGACCTTTCCTCGGATGAGTACTTAGAAATGGCGGTCCTATCTCCAATAGGAGACGTAAAAAATTGTCCTCAATTAGCAGTTTCTTGCTAAATACACTGACAATTTAGAAATAAAATGCTTCGCCTGAGATATTGACGAAATTAACAGGACAGAAGCGCAGTCAATATAGACTTCTGAATATGAGTGTTATGAATTAGACTTTAATATAAAGCATAATTAGAGTTTGTATGGTGTTGTTAACGTCATAAGTTAACATCGCATATTCGCAATTAAAATAGACCCGCCCTAATAATTGGCTAGAAAAAGTTTGATCACGTCTGCCAGCTAAAATATCCCTTACTTAACATGTAACTCCCACTCCGACCAACAAATTAAGATCGGTTATTAGGAGAGTTACGGTTTCCAACAGTTTAATGAAGAAACCTCAAAAGATATGACAGTGAACTACATAAGTAAAAATTTTCGTATCAATTTCGGTTTCCAAGTCAGTATGTTTCTATTTGGGTATTGCTACTAGGACACTATTTAAAAAAAAAATACTCCCTTTTAAGGGTATTCTACATTTTAGCTGATTTAAAGTCTCAACTTCCTTTTTTTCGATGCTGCAATATTCAGCATGACACAAGAAAGAAGAGTTCTGTACCACTAAAGTAAACTTCGCAGCAGTTCTTGTTCATTTTAACGAAGCTGTTTTGTATGTTAAAAACGGCCAGAAGCCCACTTTCGCTTTACGAAGCCACGCACTTTTCTTTTTCGTCGGAAACACCTGGTTTCAAACGGAAATCGTCATGATCATTGATCATATTCTGATCACATTTACCTGCTAAACATCAATAGCCCTTGTGTAAACAAAAAATCTTTCAAGAGATAACTTGGCCATCTGAGGACGCTCATTTAACTATAGACATGTTCACTTACGAAATATAGCGTTATTTCTAAACGAGTACATGTCAGCTACGTTACCAATGTTCTTAAAATGTTTACTTCTTTTTTTTTTCTTTCACAACAGAGAAATTAATTTGGCGGTTAAGGTGCAACGGGTTTATATGTTGAATATTAATTTATTCATATTTTTCACCTGCTAGGAATTGTTTACTACACTTTTCATCGTTCGTCCAAACGTACTCCAATAATTTTTATTTGCCTTACAATGTCACATCTAAATCTTATTCTTTGGTTTTAAAATTCAGGCGCACAGTGCGTCGACGCGTCGTCTCTTTTCATTTTCATCCGATTTCACTTCCAATAACGATAAGCTTAATAAAGCTAACTAAAATTGCAAGACGATCGTTTTGACAGCTTTCATTTGAATCAATTAACCACGCTTCAGGTTTTCGCTAACAAATAAAAAGTGAAAGGCATGTACTTCCCATTCAGGGGTTTAATAACCAACACCTCATAAGAAGGACAATTCAAACTGCGTTTCAATGTTTTAACATACAGTGTTTGTTTCTTTAAAGCAAATTAGCAAACAGCTTATAACAATTGCTTAGTTCTTCTCGAATCCCTTACATAAATAAATGCCCAAAGCTCTGTGCTGACGTTATTTTCTACCAGGACACATATTTTTCGTACTACAACATTAAACTGAAGAGTCCTAGGGCGCTAAATGAGATATTTGTGACAATTGACTCGACTTTATATATACTTTGTACAACACTGAAGTGTCTTAAGCCGAGAGTTTTACATCTAGTCAACAGAAGGTCATTTTTTTTCTTCTGAAAAAACGCCTACATTAGCCCTGCTATTTTAGGGAAGTTTTCCTTTTTACTGTTGAAATACAATTGAAATTGTTGTTTAAAGAGAACACACAAGTGTTATAGGTGTAGTGTCTACCACTGACGACTGTTTGACCGGTCCAAACTGAATATCATGCAGTTGTAAAAGGAGTAAACAGGACTAATGTATCAAACAACAATGTCCGCCCTGCATTCATTGTTTAGTATGTAAAAGTATGAAGCTTTTTGACAAGTACTTAATTACATCTCATCATTTACGAGTTTATAAGTCAAGCAAAGTCTTAAGAGTAAATCGACTGAATAATGCTAGAAGTACAAGATGAATAACTTATCCTTTGAACAATGTAAATATTGCCTTTACTTTTCATTTTTTCGTATGTACAGGTAATATATGACAAAGTACTTTTCGTGGTCGCCGGGTGTCTTCACTGTTCTGTTGTCTTACCCCACCTACACCCAGGAAATTTTTGCTGATGGAATCCGGAATTTGAGAAATTTTTCCTTGTGGAATGGAGAATTCTCGTCTTTGGAATCCGGAATACAGCTCATCCGGAATCACACTTACGATTGGAATCCAGAATCCAAGTTCCACTGACAAAGACTGGAATTCAGTACCTAGAATCCGGAATCCATGACGAGGAATCCAGAAGCCAAGCTAGACTGTTTTGGATTCCATTATATGAGGCGAGTTGTGCTTCTCCCCAAACAAAATAGGAAAAATCAAAAGCAAAGAAACTTGCCAATTGTTTTCTTCACTTCCTGCTTCACATCTCTTATCTTCCAGCAATAAAGAACTGGATTTAGACATGAATTTAAATAAAGGAGACAAAAGCAAAACTCATTCGCGATATTAATTTCGAAGGAATAGCCACGAAGAGAGGATACTGATCCCAATATAGTGTAAGGACCATAACAAGCAAGCATAGCAAACTGTATCCAAGCTACGCTATACACTGTCTTCTTGTATCGTGCTATGTTTAGTGCACTTCTTACTCTGCTCGACTGTCCTGGTTGAACATGACCTTGCACTTGGGCTTGTTGATGACGAAGGGTGAAAAAAATCTTTGAGTATGAGAACGTTGAGATTATTATAGAGAGAAGAATTAAACCCAAGAACGTCCAGTTCGAGGCAGATAACACCCTAGAAAGGGATAACTTCTTGGCCACGTAGAACAAAGAAGCGTTTGAAACGCCAAAGAACCAAAACCAAGCTAAGAGCACACGAACTCGGCATAAGGTTACAACCTGTCTGTACCTCACTCCCAATAACAGAGCGAGAAGTCTGTCAACGCTGATGGCAGCCGATGTTAGGGCCGACGCCGCAAAAAACACGTCAACGAAAAAATTGTGTATTACGGAGGGGATATCTTTAATGTAGTTAATGCGACGAAAATCTGCCAAAATGAAGAAAACGTCGAGTGGTTGACAAAGAAGACCAACGCAGAGATCAGTAACTGCCAGACATCGAAATAAGAGTTTTGTCGGTGGATAAATAGAGGATATTTTTCGAAGAGCAACGAGGATCAGGGCATTGCCCAAAGTTGCAGTGATGGAAAGAAAAATGTTTAGAGCTATAAGAAATATGTAGAGTCCTCCCGGGAGTCCTGCTGATGTCCCATTTAAGGTGTTGTTTGCCATTGATAATGAAAGCCACCGATCCAGCGCTTTACCAAAAAAAAAACTTCCAAGTTAATAAACGTTGGGCTCCTTCGGCTTCAAGGCTAAAGCAACCTCCAAGGGCAAAACAACTAGCGGATGACAACTGCTACTTTATAATTAACAATGACACTACACACAAAGACAGACAGGTTTTATATCACTGAGATTAATTGGCTTCGAAATTCCCTGCTGTTCTTTTCATCAAACGTATTTAGTAGGCATTTCTTTATCATCATTTTTTAATTATACGTATTTAGTAGATATTTCCGCCCCCACCCCTCCCTGTTTTTTTTTTACTTGTAGACTTTGCTGCTAGCTAAAGAACCAGTAAAGACACTGATGGCAACAAAACGCTTCTAAAACCACTGCTATCTAACATGAAAAATAAAATTTAAAAGAAAACAGTCAAAAAGGTAGATAATCACCTCCGATAAAACCAAAGGTAATTAATAGAAGCTGTTAAAAATTTGTGCGCAATGGACTTCCTGTAGCATTAGTTTGACTTCTGCATAATTTATAGTTGTAACAACTTCCTGCACATCAACCTAGATTTCCTGAGTAATAGTGACTTATAAATCTTTTCCTGTGTAGCAATCCCGATTCTATTCTCGCACAACTTACTTCTTTGATTCAGTGTGGTGCCGTGTTCCGCTTGATACAAGAAAGAGGCGTTCTGTGCTACTAAAGTAAACTTAGTAACAGTACACACTTTCAATTTTGAGTTAAATAGGTTAAACGTTAAAATAACAAAACAGTCAAAATCCTATTTTCACAGGGACACCCAACAACAGTTTCCTGTTAAATACATCGAAAACACTTTTTAGGCTATCCACAGAACTTTTAGATCTCTAGAAAAGCATTCTTAGTGTCGCTATAAAAATTTGTATCTATTCGGTCATTTCTGATTCCTCTCTTCATCACATTTTTGAGTCCGAAAATTTTAGGTTTCTTTCTTCCTACGAAAAATAACCTAACCTCATGTCATGGGTAGGGAATTGTGAAAAATTAAAGTTCAAAAACTTTATTAGAAGAGCTTCGAAAATTGTACATGAATGGAACGGTCATCTAGAAGTTTTTAGCCGTCCTCAAGTGATAGAAAATTCAACGCAATATTTGCTTCTTCGATCAGATATTTTAAAGAAAACACTTTCACTTTTCAAAACCAATTTTAATTTAAAAATACTTAACTACAAATTAACCTGTCGTTGCATCAAACGTATCAATTAAGCCGATTCCTAATATTTTTAAGACAGGTTGACTTTACTGCACGCTAAAGAACTATCCAAAAATATTAATACAAAATAAGATGTTCTTTGTACTTTGACGATGGTTTATGGCAAATTGGAGGTTAACAAACCACAGTGAAGAAGATATGCTGGCATTTCAACTAGAACAAATTATTGACTAGTAGTTCAGGTTGACATGTTGACTTTGTAGCTCGCAAAAGAACTAATTGAGACACAAACGTCGGGAAACGCTTCTCAGTTAACCACTTCGTTACAGGTGATATGAAGGCTAACAGAAAGTGGTCTAAACGTATATAGCCATATCGGCTACAGCCAAAAATATTAAGTAGATGTTAAAATTTGCTTCGAAATGGACTTTTTGTATTAGTATTTTGAGAATTGCATTATTAAAACTTCCTGCATAAACATCTGGATTTCCTGGGTAATAATAGTTACCAATTAATTTCTCCCCGTTTGCTAATGACTTTCTCCTTAATTCTAAATTGTTTTTCTTTTGTGCATATATTTTTTATTTTCATTATTAACATAATAGGAAATGTTGTATTGGGGTCCTGTGACAACTGCAGTAAAAAATCTCATTCGTTGTCGCATAAAAGAGCTGTTCGATATAAAACGACTCATTATATCGGTGTTCAGCGGTACAATAAGAGTCCACCGAGAACTGCATGAATGGACGCTCAAGGTGGCTCGACAGAATTTTCAGGGCAATTTCCGAAGCACTTTAGAAAGGTGTCTACCTACATGTGTATCATTTACCATTAAAATCTAAAACGGCAGGTAACTAAAAAGGGCGGAATACTAAGGCTACATACACACTATAGCGGATTGTTTTTCGTGTTATACGGTATAGTATGCAGGGCTGCAAATAATTTCCCGTCTGGCGCCGGTCAAATTGTCCGGTCAAACCTATTTTTGCTAGGACATATCCCATTTTCAGCCGGACAAACGTCGATTACGTCTTATTGCTATAAAAGTGCTTCCTCCCCCCTTCACGTGATGTTTAAATATGAAACAAGTAAATTTTCAAAGCATTTATTGTACATGAGTATCGATCTCAATGCAGGAAAAGTGGAACGCATGGTACAACAAAATCTGTATCACATTTGTGCGTACTACTATTGCTTCAGTTCTGAGCTTGTATGTAACCAGAAGCCCATCATGGACCCATCATGGGCTCCTAATGTAACTCCATGAATATCTTACCAGTGCAGTTTGTTGTCATCCTAGCAACACAAAAACAAGGAAATAAAAACTGATAAAGAAAACAGACGAGTATCAACCCGAGAAGGACGAATTCAATCGTGGGAGTATGGTACTTGGTCGTGTTATGAACCTCCTCTGAGATGTATATGACTGCAGCTATTCCGGACATCAAATAAACGTATACACCCTGAATTGTCCCAGAGACACTTTCCTTCCCAGGACATATTATTTTTTCCAAATCTCCCAGCCAGCAAAAATGTGCCTGAAGAACAGGTATTTTGAGGAGGAGTTTTGAGGAGAGCTCCATTGGGTGCCCCTGACTTTTAGCTGAAGGCGTGGTGGACCGTCCAATTTAGCCTGAACAAAGGGTAAGGGGAGCATAAAGGTGAGACAGGCTTTGGTCAATTGTGCATTATGCGTCATGGTATAAAACAAAGAACGACCCTCACTTTTGTACAGGTCTACGCATCCTCGGAGGCCGGTTTAGCCTCGGACTTCTGACGCGGTTCAGGAAATGAGCCCGCCTTCCTCCCCCAATCAGAAAGAGTGGCGAAAACGATCCTAACCCTAACGACTCAATCTTACTTAGGCAGTTCCACATGCTTTTGAAATATCCATCTCCGATCGCCCAGGAAATATTTTCTAGCCAATCAGAAATAGAAAAATCCAATGCTGCTGGAACTGGTTAGGTTGTGATTAATTGCCCACAAACTAACGTTAATTATGGGGAATGCATGTTCGGAGATGGGTGACACATGACAGCTTCGGAGCTGATAAGCTTGTTATGTGGCCTTCTTACTGTCCGCAACGGATTGGAAACCGTCCTTCCAGATGAAATTGGAGTGGAGATGTTGGTATTTGAGAGGAGAGAACTGAAACCGAAGTACGCGGAGAAAAATATTACCCCATGGAGCGGAGAAGAGAGTCAATAACAAATTCATCACATTATGTGGCGTCGGTTATGGAACTCGAACTCTCCACTGTGTCCATCCTATCTTCCCGAACAGGGCTTTCCCTTCATGTTTTATAAAAACCTTGAATTTTGTCAATTTGCTCATTTCTGTAGTTCGCCTTACAATGACGGTTAAGGCCAAGTAAAAAAAAAAAAAAACGAATGTTTCTCATCCCCGCCCGCTTCATTTTTTCGGGCCGTCGCTCTTTTTTTATTATTTGTTATTAGGAACGTTTGTACGAACAAAAACCAACAGGCGTTACTTTTACTTCAGTTCTCCTCAATTGAGTACAAAGAAAACTCTAAATATATAGAAAGAGATGGCTTTTGTCTGCGTTTTAATTTGAACTGAAGCTAAATAAGGGTCCCATAATGCAGGGATGTCAACCCCACACGTCTTCAAATATTGAGAATTGATAGGGAAGGGATGATAGATGACGTCATATCGCACGGTATATGACGTCATTTGTGCAAAAATTACTCGTTGAACCGATTGTCACGAATTTGCAATGTTTCAAATTATTGCGTATATTGCAATGGCGTAATATACCATACCGAAGTTTATGAGGAAACGTTCGATGTTAAAAGTAAAATAGCTCAAAACAACTTTAAAAAAAGTTTATTGACGGAAAGTCGAGACTACAACTTAATGGCAAACTTCGGTGAATATCCGGGAGATTTCATACTCTAATCTGGAGACCGGCAGATACAGTCCAAAATCTGGAGTCTCCCGGATTATCCGGGAGAGTTGGCGAGAGTTGACAGCACTGCCATTCTGTGTTTCATTCGCTGATCCACTGTGTTTTTTCTTGTGGAAGTGAGGTCAATTTAGTAATTCAAGATGACTGCTACCCGCTCTGCAGTGTATGCCAAAGAAGAAAATCAAGAGAGCTTTCAGGCAGGCTAAATCATAGTCCTATTGGCGTTTTTAATGCACCTTTCCTGTTGCGATGTATCGTATGATGCATCACGTTATTTAAAGACTTTAAAACATGTATCAAAATAAAACAAATTTGTGTTTAATCAATATCTGACGTTTCATTTTGTTATTTCTTGAACTTATATCCGGGGGAGGGTAATAATGTGTAAAGCCGGAAAGAATTCAATTGGCAATAATAAAATAGTCGGAAATAACAAAAAAAGGCGCCCGCCCGCTCTCTTTTTTTAATAGAAATCCGGACGAGAAACATTTGTTTTTTAAAACTTAGCCAAAGAATGAAGACTTAGAAAACAAAATAAGGGGCATAATTTAGCCTGTTCCAGGCTCTCAGTCACTGAAGATGAGCGAATAAAAGTGACTGAGCTAGCAGTGAAATAGCGAACGAGCGAAAAACGGCGGGAAGAAAGAAGGGGAGACTGCTCTACTACTTCAAGGACTCCACTATCATGGCCGTCTCTGACCAGCCCACACGCAGTTTTTGCGCAACGTTTCTCGATCCGCTCTCCCCACTATCGTGAAGCCTGGAACAAGCTAGGCATAATTCGGTTACTCTCTATTAAGTATCCTTACCTATAGCTGCAGTACTAACTGCGAAAACGTGACAAGTATTGATAGATGTCCAATGAGCCAAGACTTGCCCGGCTATCCCTGCTATTTCGGCAAGAGAAGAGGTGGAATTAAGCATCTCGTTTCTTGATGGTGAAAGGTAAAATGACAGTACTAAACACAAAAGCGACGTATTAATAAAAGCGAAAGCGAAAAATAACAAAGTTACTTCGGTGTTGTTGAGGTCCTTTGGTAACGTCTCTGATGGGGCCACTAACGCCGAGTCCATCCGTTTGGCCACTACAAAAGAACAAACTAAAACAAAAAAGGACAAGTCGGCCGCAAAGGAAGCTATGGAGAAAACTGCGTTGCCGGTTGAGACGTCATCTTTATGAACCTGCGTTTTACATTCGGGTGTTGAGTTTTGCATAAAGTGACAGTCCAAGTCGGCGCAACCAAAACAGATAAATAACCTGTAGATAGTTTGAAAGATACAAACTAGCATAAATAAAACACGAGGAATATAGTTCCACAACTGATGTCCCCACAAACCGAGCGAACAAAAACATATCTTGAAAACAATCAGCATCGACGCAGCGCATCTGTTTGTATGTTGTACATCGCGGCCATGACGGAAGTCGGTGTGCCAACGACGAAGGAGAGGTTCTCCTTCATTTTCATCTTCGTTTCCTGTCACAAATTCTTGTGGACATACAGTAGCCATTTTTAACTGAAGGAAATGTCAGCCTCACCCATTATTAACAAAATAAGTCAGCTTCTCTCCACAAACGCATGAATGTTTTACTTCCGGTTTGCATCTGGCATTCAGTGTGGCTGACCTCTGGATGACAGGACTGCTGCACCATCCCATTTTTGTGCGGTCACGTGGTCTACGCGCCGAGAGGTATGGTCACAACAGTTACTTTGACTCATTGCCAATTTGCGAAAAGTGTTCTTGCATGCTAAACTACGTCACGCAACTTTGTTTTTGTCCATTTTCAAAAAACGGAAAGAATTCAGTCGAAGAAAACATTTAGCCCTTTTTTTCGTGTTGGAGTTGAGAATAACTCTTGAAAACTTTGAAAATATTCGTCACTTAAAATACCTGTCTCCAAATTGCCTCTTCCTCAGCGATTTCAGGATATGAACGGATATTTTTGCGTCAAGATATTATTTGACATTCCTCGGGTGGAATTTGTTTATTATTGTAACGTTTTTGAGGTCTTTCTTCCTCTATTTCGTTTTCGAATAACGCGTGAAATCCTCTGCCATTTTCTCCAGCTCTGCACTGCCAAAACAACTGATCCAACGCGTCGCTGTCTTCGCGCGACGTCAGTGCGTCTTTCTTTTAGTCTACTCACGATTGACGTCAATCATGAAATAAAAGCAAAGTTTTTCAACGCTAGCCAACTAGTTATGAAGAACTGGCCGGGGGAATTACAGCCAAGCAAAACTCATTTTAGGGATATGTAATGGGGTAAATGCTTGCGGCACCAATCGAGGTAAAAAAGAGTAAGAAACGATAACTGTTCCTCCAAAAGACCCACCAGACGGCCGATCGGCCGATCCGTTCAAGTATTTTGAGACGAAACTCTAAAAACTAACTGAAATTCTAATAGGCCATTTGCACGATGGCGTCATGTTACTAGTATTGTATTCAGTATTGACGTCAATCATGAAATAAAAGCAAACATCTTCCAAAGTTGTTCAACGCTCGCCAACTGGTTATGAAGAACTGGCCGTTGGAATTAGAGCCAAGCAAAACTTATTTTAGGGATATGTAATGGGGTAAGGCTTACAGCACCAATCGAGGTAAAAAAAGGGTAAGAAACGATAACTGTTTGTCTAAAAGACACACCAGACGACCGATCCGTTCAAGTATTTTGAGACAAAACTCTAAAAACTAACTGAAATTCTAATAGGCCATTTGCACGATGGCGTCATGTTACTACTACGACCAGAATCCTTTTCGTTTTTTCTTTCACATTTAAATTTTGCACTCCCAGTGAGGTTTAAATAACAAAAGCCTTAATTTGCACAAGAAAGCCAAACCCTAAAGGATTCAGGTCGTAGTAGTAAAATGACATCATCGTGCAAATGGCCTGTTGTAGGTTAGGAAAGGAAGACGGGGATAAGTTGCGGCAGAACATCCTCGTTCATAACTTTATTGCGCTCCACCTCAAAGTGCCTGCGGCAAATGTGTCCGCAACCAAGCGCAAAAAAATGAGAGTTGGGGCGAAAAGGTCAGAACAAAGACGAAAAGGGGAGGGGAGAGTGAAAGGAGGGGAAAGAAAGAGGGGGAGGGAGAGCTGTAGACAAGGCCTTGAGGCCGCTATTCCGGAATCTTGTAATTATCCCGACGATATCATCGGTCAACAGAGACGTTTGATTATTATCACACCACAAGACACATTTAGCCTGTGAAAAGGCTCTCTATTCACAGGCTCGTGTATAGATTTAGCCAAGCCTAAAAGCAGAACTCCCACTGACCACAACATATATAAAGACGCGATCAGGACACAAAAATAGATCCTAACTAAATAAAACACAAAGTCCGTACATGATATGTTTGCAAGTGATAAAGAAAGAAAGAAAAAAAAAATAAATAAACACAGCTGAGTGTAAATTTTTATTTACCAAGCACCTCCTTAGGTATAAAGTCATCAGGACCAGCCTAAGATACTAATACAAAGCTAAAAAATATAAATATAAATTATCCCGTGCTTTTTACTACAAGACAATTTCATAGTGACCTGTACAGAAATTTTACTCCCAAACTTTAGCTTTACTTCCTAGGACAGACGATAACAATAAGAGTCAATTTAACTAACAGGTGCGTAATTTGGGGAAATTGAGGGTCGAGTCATTTTTTTAAGGTATAGGGTGGAGATATTTACTTATTTATTTATTTATTTTATTTTTACTTGCCACACAATAATTACAAAAAATATAAGAAAAGAAGAAAAAAAGAAGTGGCGAAGAGACCTAACAGAAACTATAGTAGCTTATGAGAGGTTAGGCCTCCTCGAACTACGGGCTAGAGCTGTTTCACATCAATTGAAGAAAAGATGGCGAAAAGTCGAAGATGAAAAGATTTATGAACTTTTTTCATATTTATTCCATAATTTAATCTTCAGTTTTTTCTTAAAAGAGGAAAGGGATTAAGAGTTGATGACCTCGTTGTCAAGTGAATTTGCTCCTTGGAATTTATTGTTTTTAAGCTTAGAAACCGGCAATAAAAATTCCAGCGGACCAATGTGACGCATATACGCGCATGCGCACGCCATGGGGAAGATGAAAGTTATTTAAGCTATGCGAGGAAATGAACCTTTTGATTGTTCAAAAAAGACATGCCCATTACATGTATGTGTTTCATTTTTCATCGCGCAATATTTTGTAGAAGTAGGTCGGTCGAAAGGGTAAAAAACAAAAAGTTAAAACAAGCCACGGTTAGAATCATGTTCAAACAGCACATGTAAAGAAAAGACTGCAGATGTGTCTTCTATTCGTCTCCTGAGAGAAACCTGTCTTAACAAATAAAAGCGTAAACAACTTTAACAGGAAATGCCAAAATGGATATAACAATAGTAACGTTCATTGAAAAAGCTGTATCAAACGACGTTTTTTTTTCACAGCAGAAAGGATTTTGTCAAATTTTGGTGTTTCATTTTCCGAAAAAATGGGTCGCTCGGGCCATCAGAAACAAAACATTCCTTTATGGGCATGGCCGCGCTACAAAGTATAATTTTGTTGAAACATATTTTTTGCTTTAACATTTTGTTGACTAGTTCATCGATTTGCCGTTAGTACCAGTTTGACATCTATATATTTTACAATGTATCGAACGATGTTGTAATTTTTTATCATACATAAGGACTAAGACGAATGCAAAATATTTTTTATCTTTTTTTTAATCTATTTTCCCTGTGAATTCGTTGCGAATCTGGAATCCAGTTATTCATTGACAAAAACCTCCCAAACTAACAATAATTGATATCGATAACACGCACCACGGATGAAAAATGTTCCCCTAAATATTTTTGTAAAACACTACAAAACACAGAGAACCACATTACTACTGCAGATGTTTTCGTCAAATGATGACGCCCGTTCCATGTATTCAGGTCGTGGGAGGAGCATGAAATCAGTAGAAGGGCGTGAAATGAGACGGGGAGCGTAAAATAAGAAGGGGAGCGTGAAATGAGAAGGGGGCGTGAAATGAGAAGCGGAGCGTGAAATGAGAAGCGGAGCGTGAAATGAGAAGGGGGCGTGAAATGAGAAGCGGAGCGTGAAATAAGAAGTGGAGTGTGAAATGAGAAGAGGAGCGTGAAATGAGAAGGGGGGGGTGAAATGAGAAGCGGAACGTAAAATGAGAAGGGGGCGTGAAATGAGAAGCGGAGCGTGAAATGAGAAGGGGAGCGTGAAATGAGAAGCGGAGTGTGAAATGAGAAGAGGAGCGTGAAATGAAAAGCAGAGCGTGAAATGAGAAGGGGAGCTTGAAATGGGAAGCGGAGCGCGAAGTGAGACAATGAGCGTGAGATAAGAAGCGGAGCGTAAAATGAAAATCGAACAGAGGGAGAAGAGTTTTCCTGCACATTTCTTTTCTTAACTACGTCCCCACTACCTAAACATACATTAGCTAAACTTAATTTACATCATTTTTGATACCGAGGATTTCCTCGATGTTCCTAGTTGCTATAAGAAATCTCTTTCACCAGCCTGTATAAACTGGGTGTTGTCTTTCCAGCAGGCGTTGCCTCTGTTCATTATTTCTGTTGAAATAAATATATAAATTTACGAGAGGTTACAAATTGTAAGTGTAAGTGAACTTAAATACACATTTTGCTAATTACAGCTGTTTTATTAGGTCAACTAATAGTTGTAGGATAACTGACTACTTAGGGGTCATAAAATCACGAGCTCTTTGTGATTCTGGGTCCTTAGTGGCCAGTTTACAGTCATAAAAAAAATAATTGAAAGCTGTTTGCGAGCGCTACAATGTGCGAAACGTAGCACAATCAGAATGACGCGATAAGAGTGTTGCGATTTGCAATCAAGCTGACACCCCTGAAAATACTTGCTAAAAATTATCCTGACAAACATACATCCAGATTGTAACGCCTAAATAGCAAAAGAACACCCAAAGAACCACAGGATATCCAAAGATTAGCGTGCTGCTCGCGGAAATAAATAAATAAATAATTTAAAATGCCTACTAACAACACTTTATTTGATAAAATATTAGTTAAAAATGCAAACAATCCTGCCTGCAATGAAACTATCCGTTTCAGATCTGGAAATTGCGAGGAGAGCCTAAGGCTCCTTATAGTGTACACGGGGAAAATTTATGGTTTGAGCCCTTACGCAGATCCATCGTTTTATGCGACTGATTTTTTTCTACTATTTTTTTCATCCCTTCAGCAGAATTGTTTATAATTTGTAGGCGTTCCTTCTTCCTGGAGGTGAGATTTAATCGCTGAATGCCGATGAACGCAATTTTCATCTGGAAACGAGATTGCCGTATGAGTTATGTAAGGATCGTAGCTACAATTCGTAACATTAAAACGTTGAAAAGTTGTGCTTGGCTTCCTTTTCGCTTTCCCGTCAAATGTTGGCCTCAAATTCGGAAAAATCCACAGAGAAACTATTACCGAACAACAATGGAGGGAGAAAGGAGGGTACCAGAGCCGTGTAACGCGAGTATGTACAATCCTTGAATGTACATCCATGTAAAATGAGGGTGTCAATCTCTCAAGGCTTATAAGCGCGTGACCTTTGCGACTTTCTAAATGTAGAACTCGAAAACTTGTTTGCAAGGCGAAGCTACTGACAATCGCATCGCAAATTCTGTTTACTTCACTGTCTACCGCAGAAAAAAAATATTAAAAGAAGGAGTATTCATCTGTTAGGCTGTTTTATACAATTATCTGCTTACCGTCTGTATCTCCTGACCACGACAAATCCTACCGCTACAACTGCGACTGAGAAAAAAAACAACAACAAAGAACGCGTTTTCAAAAATTTGTCGCACTTCGTCTAGTAGCCAAAGCAGCCGAGTTTGGGGTCATCACGCAACCTTCCCACTTAAGAGAAAAAAAAAAAACAGCTGCGCACACCATCTATTACAGACGATACTTCAAACTACTGAAAAGACACTGCGTCACAACACAACAGCTAACCATCACTGAAATGGATAGTAATAACTTTTCCATTTATATTCATCAAATCCACTCTTGGCGGGAAAGTTTGACTGAAACAGATTGTGAAATGAGCAGAAATACATTGTAGAGGTAAAAGAGATTAAACAGTACAGTATTACCATGTACAATAAAAAGAATTGTCAAATACCTGCTACTGTTAAGCAGATAACTATGTAAACAACAGACTTGAGCTCACATTTCTGTTTAAATGGAAAAAAAGTACAAATTCAATTACTTGCAATAATTCACCAGTTTAACCCTTTAAGCCCAGTTATCCAAATACAAATTCTCCAAACTGATCTCCATACATTTCTTTTAAGAATTAGTTGAGAGAATTAAATAAAACATCAAGGCATTTTCTCATTCGTGATCATTTTTTATATTCTCACAACCTTATCTCTTGACAATGTATGGACATTGTTAGGAGAAAATTGCTGTTGGTCACTATTGGGACTTAAAGGGTTAACACACTCTTTTGTAAAAAACTAAAGGGGTTACATTTGGATGTCACGAAGATACGTTGTGTATTGTTGTCTGTGCCCGATCCAGACCTTCAGATGAGCGGGGGGAAGGGGGAGTAGGTCTCAAAATTTTTCGGCCCTCTGGGCCTCAGTTTGGTATAAAATTAAGTTGGTAAGTTGGGGGGGGGGGGCTCCCTGGATCGGGCACTGGCTGTTTTAGGTAAAGTCTGTGCCGAAGTCATTACTTAGTGTTTGGTGTCTTTAAAGTACTCTTGTAGAGTTATGAAGCAGATATCACGCAAATTGCGTGCGAGAGCACTAGCAAAAAATATTTTTGGGTGATTTTTGCAGGCATAGCCAACTTTTAAGTTTTAATCCACGTCCATCCTTGCAATCCGTTGCTTCAGACCGCAGGAAACAGGTTAGAAGACTAAACACATGTATAGTGTCTTAACTAACAAAACCGGACCACTTTTTTGGAATTCAATGGATGCGAAAAAAGATTAGTTTAACCTTACAGAAAAATGGCAAATAGCATGACGTAGGCCCTTTAAGTACAGTATGTAAACTGTATACATGTACAACAATAAGGGCAGCATGGCTGATCAATCAGAGCGCCGCACTTTTAATCCAGAGTCCACAAAAGAGATTATGTTTTTCCTTCCACCAAGCGCACTGGCTTGATTTGTTTTTGACAGTCTGAAGTTCAAATTCTTAACCCCTCCAACCTATAAAAAGCCAACTGGTTTGCTTTCGGCCAGGTGGGATTCTTAACCTTGTTATCACTGTTTCAGTACGTTAATTTATTTCCTATCAGTGAACAGCTTGGCCTGCTTGTGTTATAAATACTGCTGAGGGTGAAAAGAGGGAAATTAACTGAAATTTTTTTAACTGATACTTACATCTGTTTGTTCATCTCTATCATACATTACATTACATTCTGTTCCTGGAGCATAAGATCCTGCAGGACATAACTGGCCAGACTCACAGGGAATTGGCTCTGAGTCCTCCCACTGAAATGTACATGTACATGAAAATAACAACATGTTACAAGGAAAGAGCGCAGTTTACCACGATTACAGTCAAACCCCATACGTACAGACTCTGAGGAGGCAACAGACAGTATCTGCATAAACAGGGAGACAGAAATAAGCGGAATGAATTTAGAGAAAAAAGTAACAGGACATTGTTCCCCAGGGACAAAGCAAACTGTCCATAAAAATGAGGCAAGCATATTAACTGGGTGTTCATAAAGCACGGTTTGACTGTACTACGGAAATAGTTAGAATGTGTTTTTCTTGGAGATGTGGACAATACTATTGGTTTTCCAGTAATGTTCCTTCCCCTAAAATATTGCCATGTGAAGTAATAGAGGATTAAATTCTATGATTCTTTACAGATGATAAATGAGTGGCCCTTTCCTCTACTCGCTTTCATTTCTCAAATTGCAAGTTATAAAATACCTCTGGAAAAGCCTCCAAATTTCTGTTCTCAATTGAATGACTTTATAAGTCCAATTAACCTGCCTACAGTTGTATGTGCATGGCTTGTGCGTTACTTAGGCAATTAATTAAGTTATAAAAGAAAGGCTCCCCGAACCATTTTTATAACCCATTCAAATTTCCTACTTGTAGTTGATTTTTCTTCATGCTCCAAATAAATAAGTTCTCTATTAACAACTTTTACCAACCACTAGTAGGCACATGGAAAAATGATCTTGGTTACTTACTGGGCAATAATAACCTTTAGGGCATTCTTTACATGTTTTCTGGCCTCTCTGGGTTTGGTACCAGCCTCTTTTACATTTCGTACACCAATCAAAGCCTGTAATTTGTTTGACAAAACCTAACGTAAAAAGCAAGTGGAAAAGAAAACAAATTAAACAAAAAATCATCTGTAAATGGTGTTATGATTGTTTTATTGCTCACTACTGTAAGTTACCTGTACTAATCTGAATGAATGATTTAAGAAGTTCTTATAGGCAAAAGGCACACATGAATGCAGCACTCACTGTTTGTAAAAGGCCATCAGAAGTAAGCGGACAGTTGAACTTAAATAAAAAGGGGGGGGGGGAATTCATCGAGGTTAATGTGTCTTTTTTGGGACTTAATTTATAATTTTAAGTACAGTTTAATGCTGCTTATTGAAATGCATAATTCAAAACTTTTCTAAGCTTATAACATCTCTACCGCTTCAAGGAATTTATTTGCAACATCTTTGCCAGCAGGTCCTTGGTCAGTTTCAGATTACCAGAAAATTCTGAGCTTATAAGCCCCCCTCCCATTAAGTTATAGGCCCATCTACCTGTAAACAAAATGTATACCCTTTTTCAGACCAAAATGACACAAAACCCCGTCCCAATGAGGCAGCACATACGTGATGTACCTATATAGCTTATAAAAGGGACTACCCCCTCCCCCAAGGCTTTTTTGATGCTGCCAGTATAGCATTTTCCAGTTTTTTTGTTGTTTTGTTGGCAGAAAGCTCGCAAAATCTACTTAAATTCTCCACCACTTTGTCTGGGAGAAATTTTGTTTCCTCAACATAAGTGTTTTCCATATAAGGTCAAACTAAGGTATATGAGCTGATAACCGAGATTGGGCGAACCAAACAGAATGCTAGAAATGGATTATCCGAGGCTGAAAATTTAATAGGTAAATCCAGTTATAAGCCCCCCACTAAGAAATGAATCCGACTTTTTACAAACAATGTCGTCTTGAAGGATAAAAAAGCAATCGAATTCAAAAAGGATTTTGATCATCACTCCTATGTACACTGTACCTTGTTGTGAAACACTTTTTTTAGTCCAGTTATAAGCCCTCCCCCCTTATATCACAAATGAGCAACCCCCCCCCCCTGAACATACCGGTAAGCCCCCCACCACCGTTTATAAGCCCTCGTAAAATCCCTTACGAAGTTGTACATGTATAAGCCTGGGGCAAGCAGTTCAAAAAGACAGTTTCCAAGAAATCCTTTGAGTGGTATTTTTGTGTGTTTCTGCTATCTTTTGAGTATAAATAATTTATTTTGCGAGTAATTCCGTGATTTTTCATCTTACGAGATGCTCAGTGAGACTTTTACCTCTATGGCAGAGAGTGCAGTTGTGCATGCCCATATCGAGTGCTTCTTGTCCGGCAGGACATGCGATGCAAGTTGTACACCCGTGCATGCTGTGTACCAATAGAAGTATACAGGAGTTAAAAATGCTGTCACGACAGCAAAGGTATGTTTGCAGAATGCTGAACGCAGAATGACTCAGAGTTTAGTAATTAGGGTTAGGAAACTGAGTGAATCAGGTTCTATTTAGGGTCATTATACTGGAAAAAAACTGACCTGAAACTTGATTCACTCAGTTTCGTAACCCTAATCACCTACTGTACCTTCAGAGTCATTCAAACAGAATTCAGCATTCTGCAAAATACCTCTGCCGCTATCATGACCATTATTAAATTTTAGAAGAAGGCATCCTGAAATTCTCTTAATCAGGCAAACAAACTAAACATAAAAAAGTAGAATTTCTTGCAAACCCTCACTCTGTACACTCTCACTGGGGGGGGGAGGGGAGGGGAGGGGGAAGCTACTGCAATAATTAACTCTTTAAGCCTCGATCAGACGACGATCGAATAGTATCCCGTGATGCACCTCGTTTCATGTTATATTATCACTCAGAGATCACTGCGTACGTGACATATCATGATCACTACTCTTCAGTGCGCGCGTAGTGAACATCGTAGTGCTCGATGTGTATGGTTTCCAAACATGTTTCGGTTCAGCAGCTTCTGCTTTTGAGAATATTGAGTTAGCAGATATTCATTGTGCTTTAAAGAAGAATTTCAGCGTTACTTTGAAGGGTTACATGTGTTTCACTGATCTGTCGAGAACTACTTGTGCGCTCGGTCGCAACCACAAACACAAAGTATGAGACTTGGCAACTGAAAGGTTCACCAGGAGAACCGAAACCATGACTGATTTAAAAAGTGGCTCCAACAAAACAGCCGCTACGCTGCGAAGGTAATTGCTAAAGGAGGATTTATTTCAGCATCGCGCTCAAAGGAGTTCAATTTACAACTGCAGTTACAAATAAAATTAACCTATCGATGCGACAAACAATCCTCTGAATCTACCCGGTACTGACTCACGCAATCTTCAAGGAAATTTCCTGGCCAGAATACTGATCTGTTCTTTCGAATAAATAAAGTTTCTGATATTTTTTTTTTTTTAATTTCTGAGCAGGCTTGTTTAGCGTTGTGCCTCGTTGTGCCGCTTGGTTCCTATCACACTGAAACACACGGTAATATTTACCGCTCCTTGTTCTAATTAAAATAATTATAGTCAAATTCCTTTTAAAAATAACCACTATGAAAATACAAAGTGATTGCTTCAGCATAAAGTGCTCTCGAAAGCGCCCAACAGATGTAGCCTTCAGCAGGCTTTACACATACGACACATATATTATCACACATGGCGTTGAAATGTGATAAAAGATACGAAATTTCAGCCATCTTTGCTCGATAAAAAAGTCTTCAAAATGTGGGTACTTCTGGGTACTTCTTAGCCTGTGCAATATTCAGGACCTCAATTTGCCGGCGCGAGGTCCACATTTGGAAGACTTCAACATATAATCCAAAAATCGTGAATATTCATGACCTTGCTGTGGGTCACTGAACACATTGTGATAAGAAGACTAAGTGAAACAATGAAAATAAATGTTTCTACGTGGAAATTTCGCTCTTAAGCCATTGCAAATCGGAGAAGTCATGTCAAATAACAAAATAATGCAATTTTCTTACTTTTCCTGGAACACAAATGAGAAAAAAGGGGACGAGAAAACGACCTTATTTCACGATGGAATCTGCCATGACTGCGATATTGCGTAATGCCTCTGGATAAATGCATCATGGGATACTATTCGCTCCTCCTCTGAGCCTCGATATCCACATACAAAATACTGCTCCCGACCTCTCCATACATAATCCTTAAATCGAGGTATTTTACCTCTGGTGATCATTTAATTAATTCTCCTAACACTACCGGTAATTATTCATGAATTGGGGTTAAGAAACAAAGGAAATTGAGAATCAACCAAGGTTAAATCAAATTTAACCTCAAATCAAATTTGACCTGTAAACAGATACGCACTGTGAAAGGTAAATTAGCCCCCAAATTCACATACAAGATATTAAGACTTTCTTTCCCTCAGGTGATTATTTTATTACAACTGTAATTCTCATAACCTCTTCTCTTGAGTTTTGGTCTTAGAGGGCTAATGCTTAAACTGTTAGACTGAACAAATTAAAGACGATTTTCTCTCATGCATTTGTACACCTTGCTGAATTATTAGCCATTTCCTTAATACTTTGGGTGAGTGCCAAAATATATAGTATATTTTTGAAAATATGAATCTTACCCGCAGACTCCACCAGATTGGCATGAAATACATCTATGAGCTCCTGCAGAACTAAAACAAAAGACGGGAATAATTTTCCAACACAATGCACACATGCATGAACTCGCATTTGATCATGGGGGGCCACAGCTGTAAAAGGAGCAAGGATTACTTTGGAACATTTGGTTAGGACAGTACAAAGAGCCTTTTGTCTGAGAAGTTCCAAGTTACAACCTGTAGGTTTGCAGGCTTTGCCTTAAATCCTTGTTACAATATCTTTCCTATCAGAGTAGATTTACATGTCAAATACTGTGCCTGTACAAAAAAGCACTGATAGAGAGATGGGGGTAGAATAAGCGGATCATTATATATGTTTCTGGGAAACTGCCCACCTACCACTCCCCTAAGTCAACATTTTGTGTTAACTGTTAAGTGTTAATGTTGACTTAGGGGAGGGGTAGGTAGGCAGTTTCCCAGAAATGAGCCATCTAAGGTTTGTTATCCACACAACAGAGAGATTTAGAATTGTGTACGGCTAACAGCAAACGTCAGATTCAAATTGAAAATTTCTCAATCTGGGAAAAAAGCAGACAAAAAGTGTCTAAAAGTGTCTTATTGATGAAATTTATGAGTACACTAATATTTGTTTAGACATAACAAACAGAAAACAACAGGTACAATGAGGTAAAACTTTGTCAACTGGAGGTTTGCAGCTTGCTGTTAATGCAGGTCTAAATCTCTCTAATGACTAACGTAACTGTCACTTCAAGCTAAGTACTGCCCTAATACAGTACCAAAAGTAAATATTAGAACCTTACCCTATTATACATACATGTCTGGTGAACTGGTCTTTCTGGTCAACCCAATGTTTTTTTCCTACATTACATGGAAATCCATTCTTGTACATGTACGCGTAGTGCAAGGGCGGATCCAGGAATTTTTTATTGGGGGGGGAGGGGGGCTCCAAACATTGCTGAACTCAGAAAGGACTGTTGAAACTTTTTTGTGGCAAATTACTTGTAACAGAGATGACCAGGTGTTACGCCGGTTTCTATTGGCGCAGGAAATACTGAGGAGAACAGATCATAGGAAGGTACCCAAAAAGCAATTACATTTTTGAATATCCCTGGAATTTATTTTAGTGGCAAAATGCAATGTGCGTTTCATTGAAAAAAAATCACATAGTTAAAAAAGTGATATACGAACCTGTCGACGTAAGAGTTTCAGTCTCAAACAAGCATCAGGTCTGATAGGGGGGGGGGGGGTCCCGACCCCCTGGGCCCTCCCCCTGGATCCGCTACTGTATTGTATAGTAGTAATACTGTAAATTGATAACATCATGCTTACCCGGAATAGAACCCTAATGGACAAGGTTTACACTCTTTTTGTCCAGGATTTTCCTGATGTTGCCCAGCCTTACAGGCATTGCACAAAGCCATTCCAGAATCAATTTGGTAGTGACCCGCAGGACAGGGTAGACATTGGTCTTGTCCAGAATCCTTTTGGTAGTGACCCGCAGGACAGGTTAGACATTGGGTTTGTCCAGAATCATTTTGGTAGTGACCGGCAGGACAGGGTAGACATTGGGCTTGTCCAGAATCCTTTTGGTAGTGACCCGCAGGACAGTTTAGACATTGGGCTTGTCCAGAATTCTTTTGGTAGTGACCCGCAGGACAGGTTAGACATTGGTTTTGTCCAGAATCATTTTGGTAGTGACCCGCAGGACAGGGAAGACATTGGGTTTGTCCAGAATCCTTTTGGTAGTGACCCAGAGGACAGGGTAGACATTGGGTTTGTCCAGAATCATTTTGGTAGTGACCCGCAGGACAGGGTAGACATTGGGTTTGTCCAGAATCCTTTTGGTAGTGACCCAGAGGACAGGGTACACATTGGGTTTGTCCAGTCAGATTTTGGTAATATCCAGAAGGGCATTTAACGCAATACTTTGTTTCTTGGCACCAGCCTTTATCAGAACAATTAAGGCATTCAGGTAAACCTACAGTTGCATAAACAGAAAAAAAAATGAAAAACGCATTCCATAAAAAAATCAACAGTGGAAAAAAAAAATTAAGGGACAGCTTAAATGTAAAACACACCTAATAAGAAAATAGAAGTTAATGCCCTAGGATTTCAATCTGCATGGAGAACTCTTTTTCATTTCCGCGTGGATCATGGGCACCTATTTGGTAATGAGAAAATCTTGGAAAAAAATTGTGCACTGTTACATGTAAACAAAAAGGTACATGTATAAACAGGGCTTCTAATATTTCACGCAGTCGCGGAGCCATGAAATTCAGGTAAATCTGCGAGATCCCGTGAAATTCACAAAAACACGAAAAATACCGCCAAATTCGGTTGAAATCTTATCAAATACATGTCTGTACAACATATTTGAAATTTATTTCAGCTATTGGGGCTGAAATGTGCAAACAACATCCCGAAACTACCAGGCGTAGATTATGTTGCGAAAAACTGGGCTCTAGCCATGATGTTAAAGGCTTTGCCATTGGTTCATTTCTGGGGCGTATTGTTGTTGAAAGAGCAAATGATAACCTCTGTTAGAAAAACATTAAAAACGCTAGTAAGCAATTGATTTCTAGCGAAATTTGCCTTGAAAATAACCACAAAATTGGCCGTTTTTTACCGATTGCTTTTTGATGAAGTTTGCCCTGAAAACTCCTGCGAAATTACCGCGAAATCAGCCGATTTTTCCACGAATTTGTCCCTAAAAATCCTGTGAAATTTGACTTTTTCTTCCGTGACCTGTCAGAAGCCCTGTATAAAGTGTGCTAATGCCAGGTGCAGTCTAAAGGTAAATTTCAACTCTTCCCTTCTTGCCTGTATATAAAGTTCTTTAAATCCTTATTATTCTAAGTAGAAAGAAAAATTAACACTTAATGCATACGTGTACATACAGAACTTTCATCAGGAAGGATGAATACAGCGGTAGTTTAAGGAACAGTTTTTTGGTACACTTAATGACATAGTCCAGGAAACGATCGTTACTGTGAAATCCTAGGGTTCACGAAACTGAGACAGATAAAAGTATCAACAAGAACTATTGCACTAATTCAAATGCTCAAGCAACCCAAAGACACATGACACAGATGCCAACCTCTATATCTGGAAATCTAAAATCTGGACACTCCCTCTTTTGCATTAACCCCCCCTAATATCAATGACCAACCCCCCCACCACACACACACACACCCCCTGACCCTGATCCCGACCCCCCAATAACCACAATTCAATCCAGTTCCTTAAATCCCATGGGAATGGCTTAGGACATTATAATGATGAAGTCTTACATCAGTTACAGACCATCACAATTTGCTTTTACATGTGATTGTAAATATGGCGAAATAATCTTTGTCAGTGATGAAATATGTGCAAAAATGCTCCAGAAACTGAACTATGAATCAAAGAAAATTCAAATTTGGGGAGAAAATGGATAAATTCCAAATTAAAGCACAGAAAATCTTATAACTCAATTTTACTTGGGAGATTTGGTGACCCATACTGGAGACCAGGAGACTCCCGGATAATCCGGGAGAGTTGGCATGTGCGACATGATCGCATGGAGGACTGGTGCCGGTTGGGTACATCACCTAATGGTGGATGGCAACAAAACAAACTGAACTTTGAATCACCATAACTCCTGATGAACCTCTGAACACTTGAACCCATGCTCCAGCTCTGTGTTCTGCGTGTGAGAAAAATGTTTTCTACTTCATTCACTTTACAGCAAGAGGGGCTGTCATACTTATACTCTGTACTTACTGTTATTTGCCTGTGTACCCTTTGGGCAGGCATGACAGGTGACATTGTTAGTGCTTGTAGCATGAATCCCAAGAAAGCCAAAATTCCATAGAAGGTCAGCTGTAAAAGATACCCAGAAAAAAATAACAATGTGCATATAATGTAAGTTTTAGTGCACCATAAATTCTGCTACAGTGGAACCCCATTAAAATGAAGGGCCAAGGGACTGGCAAGATTTGCTCGCTATAACAAGGTTTTGTTTCACTGAGGTTCTTTTTCATATATTTCACTATTATATTACTGGGGCAGAAAAAAAATTGCTCTTAAAAGTTTGTTTTATTGAGGTTCCACTATACCGGCATCGGAATTGAAGAATAAGTTTTCCAAATCTAACTTGTCTAACATCCCTGTCTTTGTACATGAAGGATTTTAGTTGTAGGTTGACACGATCATAATTTCCAAGTTAAAACACCAAGGTGGGGGGGGGGAGGGTAGGGGATACTTGGCAAGGTGGGTAGGACCAGTACTGTAATAATGTTAAACTATGAAAGTTTTGATCAAGTCTACACTGGCTCCAGTTGTTCAAACATTGGATAGCGCTATCCACCGGATAAATCACTATCCAGCGGGTAGTGTAATTGATTTCCATGATACTTATTCACTGGATAGTGATTTATCCGGTGGATAGCGCTATCCAATGATTCAACAACCGGGACCAGATAAAGCATTACCTATCAGGTAGTGCAATTGGTTTTCCTACTACGTGTTCACTGGATAGCAATTTACCCAGAGGATAGCGCTATCCATCTTTTGAACAATCAGGGCCAGGTCACCACAGTTTCAAAAATAATCTCAGCTATGTTCAGCAATTTTTTTTTCTGGTCAGGGGGTCAAGTGCTTTCTAACAACTCTAAAATTATTTTTTAATGACTTTTAACGTACTTTAAGCAATTAAGAACCGTGCTTTACTTTCATGAGCCAAAAATAGAAATTGCATCCCTCGCCCTGCCCCCATTGAAGCCTCTCGATCTCTACCTTATAGGGCATTTGAAATAACTGAATTTTTAACATTAAATTCTTCATCTTGTTTACAAAACGCTGTTGTTTTCAAGCCAAATTTTTCTTGATCAACAGGAGAGACAAAAATCATGATTCACGGCATAGCATATAAAACAAGTTTTGTACACGCATGGCACGTCAGATGATTCTAGAAAATTCATCTTCAACTTCTTTAGCTTACTCAGTGACAAAATTCTTTCCAAAAACCAATTCCGCTGACTTTTTAAACACTTAAAAGTCACTATGACTAACTGGGTGAGCGAGTACCATCGCAATTGTAGCTTATTGTTTTGCTGCCAAAACAAACTTTCAGCGCGATTCAACTCAAGTGGGACCCGAAGTGGTAAGTCACACACCTTGGCTTCAAAATGTTGGCTGACGAAGGAAATATGGATGTTCAATCAAGATTTTATAAACTAAATATCTTCGCTGATTACATTTTAAAGAGGCAAAGAGGTACTACACTAGCAAGTCGCGTAAATTTTAATTGATTCGCTGGCACTGAAATGGTTTCCGCCGAAAGCATGGCGTAAAGGTCGTGTACGTAAAATCACGTGAGAAGAATTAGTATACTCACCGGTGAAACACAACAATAATACGGAAAAATTAAGCAGCGTATGGCACTGTACCATTTCTAGTTACTCTTGCGATCATCTGAGGGAACTTTCACGTCTACTTTGTCGTTTACGTTCTACTTCGTCATGAACGAAGAACAATGGCTTCTGCATCTCGTGACACCGGAGACCAAAATACAACAAACATAAACAAATCGGAAATATTGAGCAAGTGCGCTTTTTGTTTTAAAGTAATCCGCTGGAATATAGACCCCAGTTCCTTCTCCGTTGAGCAACAAGATGGCATGGTCGCCTGGTGGATAAAAATCTTACTAGTGTGCAGGACTATGTGCAGTGATGAATTAAGACTTTGGGCCAGCTTTTTAGCGAGGAAACATCTTCATCGAGAGTTTGAAGAAAAGAGTCCGAATCCTCCAATCTTCGATTCATGACAGAAGCTTTTTGACCGTCAAAATTTCCTAGATTGTATATACACTTCCCATAAAAATGCAGTGGGTGAGGTCGTTTTTAAGCGCCTTTATAAGGGCAAGACGCCTTGTGGGGACTGATTTACAGGGAAATAAGTATTATGAAACTGTTAGGGAAGGTAAGAAACCCAAAAGAGAGATGGTTGCTTTCATTGAGCATGCCCAGTACACCCCAGAGTTGATGCCAATTGAATGGGAAGCTTGGATAAGGGGGAAGAGAGACGATCCTCCAACGCACGAAGAGTTACTCACACAACAGAAGAGAATAAGGACTGTTCAAAATAGGGCAAAACAGCTAGAGGAAAAAGAGCGAGAACAACAGGCGTTAGAGCAACAGACACCACTGCTTGTATCGCAAGTAGGACATGCTTCAAAACCAGTTTATGAAAGTTTGGACAACAGAGGAGAGCCAACAAGCACTGGTACAATGTTCAAGCCAGGAGAGTGGAGCCCAGAGTCAACTGATTTTCCGAAAGGATATTCAGCTGGAAAAGAAGGCGAGGATACTTTTGAACCAGAATCCTGGGTACCACCAAGCAATCAAGAACCACAAAAGGGGCAGCAGTACGTGAACTGCTGTGATTCATTAAGTCTAATCTCAAGTTTTGTTTTTAGTTTCTCAGGATTGGAGTTGGAGTTATAAAAAGGTCATAAGAGTGCTTACGACCCAGTGAAAATATCAATCAGAACTGGATAAGCAGTCATAGGCGGGCTGAATCAAAGATTTAAGAATCAGGACATTTCCATTTTCTTCCAACTCTTCTCCTTATGGCTTTATCAATCTTGTGAAACCCACAATCAGCAACAAAATGAGTTGAGACACTTCACTCAAAACTGAGCTTTTTTACAATTTACTAACTTCAAAAGGAGGAAATATAGCTTTTCCTCCCCCATCCCATCCATGTTGTGCCGATGTTCAAGCTACCTATAGAAAACAACAAACACCCCAACTTTGAATGGAGGGGACAGGGGAGGGGCGAAGATTCTTTTGTTCTCTGAAGTTGCCCTATTTGAGTACAATGTCTTAACAATTTTTGATGCCGATTGCAGCTTACTAGAGTCTGTAACAGAAGAGAAAGAGAGAATAAACTAATCACATTAACATGCTTGTTCCAGAGCATTGTGACTGGTCTTGGTTCTTCCTTTTCTGCAAGCAACTCTAATGATCTAGTTTTCCCTAGAACATCAGGGATTGAGTGATAATTAGAATCAGAATGCAGTTACCGTAAATCCTCTATTAAGCCTCCCCCGGGGGGCTTATTTTTTCCAAGCACTTGTGAGGGGGGGACTTAATAGAGAGGGGGGCTTATTAGAGAGGGGGGGCTTATTTAATTTAGCGGAACGCATCACCTGTAGCAAAAATACCGTGGTATGAGACAGAGTAGACTTACGCGTTGTACAATTAAAGTCACTGTCAAAAGTATTTAAGTCACTTGTGGGAGCCTAAAAGTAACAAAAACAAAATTCTTATTCTTCAAAAATGTGCTTTCGGCCTCACGTTCTTCGATAATTATGAATAAACCATAACTGATCAGTCCACGTTAATAGTTAATTTTTTTGTGAAGAATAAGGATTGGGGTAGGGGGGGGGGGGGCTTAATAGAGAGGGGGGGCTTATTAACTTTCCTCCTCTGAAAAGGGGGGGCTTAATAGAGGATTTACGGTATGTTTTCACCACATCATTAACACTGCACTTGTCATTTTGTCTCTGACTTTTGGACTGGACGTGTGATAAATAGAGAGGAGAAGTGTGATGTCACGTTACTATGGTAGCAAAATTTCTGGATGACATCAATAGGGAGTTTTGGCAATGGCAACAGCAAAGGCAGACAGCAAAAAACAATAGGTTTAGATTGGCAAAAAAACAACTTTGCACGTGCATCACGCCGTTTCTGTACATTTCTTAGCCACTGTTGCACGACTGCGACATGAAACTTCCTAATTTCATGTCCCCAATTTATGGAGTGGGTGAGCACAACACAAAAAGTTTGTTTCTCTTTTTCTAAACTTAGATATGGTCCTTTCTGATTGAACCCAGAAAATTTCACCAACATTTGACAAATTACAAAATGAAATTGAATAAGATCGATGAAGTTTGAATCAGTGCGAATTTAATTTTTTAAGCGAATTTTCAGTTTGTTGTCATCCAAAAATTTTGCTGCAAAGGCAACATGACATAACAACTTCTTCTCTCTATTGTGGACACCTATGACCTATCACTATATTTAATATAGTGGGGGCAAGAAAAAAGTTCAAAACAGCAGGTGAAACTGGTAAAGTAATGCCTATGAGAAATGAGCTGTTCCATTTCTTGCAGTTTAACCTTTTTTATTTGCTGATATTTTTCCTGCTGCTTCAGACCCTCTCTCTGTGTTCTGTATTTTCTCCAGGTTCTCAAGGATAAATATTCTTAAAAAATATATATACAGAATTAGGTGTTTTTTGTTTAAAATGGCTTACTTTAACTGAGAAATATTATTGTAGGTATTATTTTAATGGACAGAATGCCATAAAATTCCTGCCTGTTGGCTCAACTATGTTTGACGTGCAAGTCACCAGAAGTGAAGTGGATACACGTAACTCTAAATGCTTTTGATGCCTTCTCAAATTTATATTATTAATTAACTCACCACATGTAAGAGATAAGTCAAAGAAAGAATTGGAGAAATCCGCCAGTCAACTTTTTTAAAAGGTGGTATCTCTCCCCTTAGAGTTATTCTTGAGTGGAGAAGATGTGGTGTGCAACAATAGCCACTAGAGATGGCTTTAGATTCCTGCCATGGGTTGACTATAGTGAGAGATTTCCTATTCAACCATGTCTTGAAATGATAAAAAAAAACATATTATTCTTGATTTTACCGGGAATTTTTTGCCACTGGGTTGGAGGCAAACTTCCAAAGAGACACTGTGACATTAAGTAATGGTCCAGATAAAAAGAAAATTCACAATTGACACTTACACTACAGGTGAGAGGGTGAGAGAGTGCAATGGTGGGTATAGCTTTTTTAAAATACATTTTATTTCATAAACTACCCTTTTTTAGGTTTATGCATTCTATGTGTGAAAATGAAAACATTCCTATGTGTGGAAAGCGTATTGACTGTTTTCGAATCCCCCATAATACACTCTCTTTGCCCCCCAAATATTGCGGCATATTTCAGTTATTGTCTTCAAAAATGCAGTACTCCCAGGATCATTTGAAAACAATGGTTTGTGCAAAAATTTGGGGGGCAAACAGAGCGTATTATAGGGGAATCGAAAATAAGAGAATTGCACCTTAACAAAAGAAATTGCTACCCGTCTAACCCGGATCATTACTTAAAAAAGATAAATTTCTGTGGGACTTCCCTTTAAATCCACGAGTCCATTCCAATTTTTTACTATCCGTTGACGTTAACAACACCTTAGCAACCGGAATCCGGCTAATCCAAAATGGCGGTTCAACACCGCAGGTATTCCTTGACTGATTTGAGGTCGAAACCGAACGAAAAAATACAGCGACGGCGGCGAAGACAATCCATAAAGATCCAGAGAAACATTGATGATGACGTGCTTATGGCTTCAGCAATTGGGGACGTGACATGGCTACAACAAAGCCTGTACGATACGCGAAAGGCTTATTCAGTTTCCAAAGAACATGTAAGTGTTGATTACAAGTTCTCGAAGGCCTGTTCCTTCTCTGTATGGCATTTCCACTAGACTAGCTAGAAAATTGACTTAAACTGCTTATCAATATAGTATATCATAAAGGAAAGGGATGGAGACTAGACAGTCGTGTATGCATAAATACGTATGAAAGTTGCGGGTTCGCCGGCTAAAGTTGCATTAAGGAACGTCATTCGTTACAGGAGTCGCGTGTGGTGTGTACCATTTTAGTTGTTGTAACTTACAAAGAAAGTATTTTCTGGAAGCGGTAGCGTTTTGTTAAGAATGTTTACTCATGCCCCCGGCTTATGCATTAGTCACCCGGATAGTTTCCCGGTCTCCAGTACGGGTCACCAAATATCACGGATAAAATTTACAATGTGAGCTTTTCTGTGCTATAGTTTGGAACTTAGGACATTTGGTATGATTTCTTCTTGACAAATCCACAACAGTTTTTCAACTTGTCTTTACTCTTCTGAACCATAGACATGATGTCAAAATGTTCAAAACTCAAGTGGACCCATGAGTCACAAGCAAGCTGTTTTGTAAATCGTTGAATATTTTGACTTTGTTCCCATGGTTGTTAAAAGTATAGACCTTGAAAAATGTATGCAATTTGTTTCCTTCAATAAGCTTGACAGTTTTGGATGCCCATTTCTGTTGAAGTTTCTTAGAAAATTACACGCATAAATTAAGGGAAGGGAAAAACAATTATTGTACCACAATGAGGTCATTTTCAAGGTCTATACTATACCTGCCAACTTTTTCTGAGTCAAATGCGTGAGATTTCTGTTAAAAACCTCCTGGTGACTTATGCAGATTTCCGACAATTTTCCGAAAGACTTCCGAATGTTGCTGAAAATACCTGAAAATGTTCCGACAAACTTTGAGCACTTCCGAAGCTTAAATAAAGGTGACATTTTTGGTGTGTTGTGATACATTTGGGACCTATTAAGTCAACATAATGCACCTTTGTTGGAAAATTTTTGTGGAAACTGAATCAAATTTTCACTATTAATCATGTATTTCAGAAATAATTATTTAATTTATGTTTTTTGATTCTCTTGTATTCTAAAATTAAGGGTCTTGCCCCAGTGCACCTTGCAGCCCAGAATGGCCAGCTGGAGTGCCTTAAAGTAATGATCGAGAAATATAAAGTAGATGTAAATCATCAGAGTGCATCTGGATGGACACCCCTTCATCTAGCAATCAACAAGGTGACAAAAAAGAGGGGACTAAGATGTGTCCGATACCTCCTGGAAAAAGGCGCAGATCCTTCCGTGTAAGCTTTATGTTGTATACTCGAAAATAAGTACCGTAATAAGTATGTTGTGATCCGGGTTGGGGGGGGGGGGTACTCAACAAAATTTATGTTTATATGGGGAGCAGGGAGGTCCCACCCCGAGATCCAACCCCTTCCCTTTTATGAACCATTTTTCATGAAAATTAAAGGTACCCCTTTTGTAAATCTTTTATTGACAAATGGTACCCCTTTCACATACCTTGTTTAGAACTTTGCATCCCTTGTAACTGCTGTAAATGCACTGTCTTTTACATGGGAATCAATCACAAAAATAAAACATTTTTTTGACTTTTTAAAGCCATAATATTCATCTGTTAGCTCTTTTGGGCCCTTTTACAGACCATGACAGATTTCCCTACCCTTTTATACAGCTATTTCGAGAAAGGTTGTCAGAAAAAGTGCACGTGACAATCCTGAAAGGCATTGTGGGTGGTTTTAAGTTCACTGTTCTTTAAAGAAATTTGAAAGAATTGGTACAAAAGGCCGTGGAAATGTGTTTGCTAGTGCTACAGGAAAGCAACAAAAGTAGGTTCGACATCGTCAGAAACAGTGTATTGATCATATCCCATACTACCTTTCGGGAATGTTGCGTGCACATTTTTCCATCAACCTTTCTCGAGATCTAATTCTCGAAATAGCTGTATACTTCAAAAAGGGGGAAATCCCTACCCCTTCATATGACTGAAGGTAACCCCCTTTCAGGCGGAGCTTCCCTGTATAGGCTATCATGGGGAGTAACCCTCCCCCCCCGGGTTCTGACTAACTCCATGCAGCACAAAAGGGTGTTACATTGTACTTTAACATTCACCTCTCACCTTTTAGCCACATGGCATGGTATGGTATGGTAACTTTATTTATACACGGTATTTCCCTCAGGTACATTTACATGCAAGTATAGAAAACTAACTACCTAACTAAACTAGAATCTAAGATAGAAACTAAAATAATAAAGATGAAAAGAAAACAGCCGCTTTTCAAGGAGGCCATGTGTAAAAGTCTAAGGTGTTAAAGGTCACTTTATTGCCTTTGATGTATTGTGAAAGGTGATAGAGACTGTCTTTGCCTTATGTCATTAACTAAAAATGATACAACTTTGCTTGGGCATCAGGTGGACCAAATGTCACCCAGACCAATTGTCACCTTGATGAACATCATTAGTATTGCATCTTTAAAACGCATTATGAAGACTTCCGCTAGCATGTACCTTGCTTCACTTTCTTTACAATGTACATGCTCCAGTTCATATTTGATTCACCTTTGAGGCAAATCAAAGGTTATTATATCAATGGCAGTTTTTTCATCTTGTTCATAATGGAAGGGGCTCATATGGGCCTTTGGAAACTGTAAGAATAAAGGTATTTAAAAAACGTTCACTTTAGTAGAATTAGGTCACTGAAGTTGTAGAAAGTGGAAACTTCTAATTTAAGGGAACATCCTTTTACTCTAAACTTACCTGTAACTGAAGAAGGTACAGTTTGTGCCACAAATTATTTGCAGTCAAAGTGCAGGTAAAAGAAATTTTTTGCTTAATTTTACTAGCCTAGAGAAAATTTGACTCTTAACTGTAAAGCTACCTCTCCCCATTTTTGGACAAGGTCTCAAATTGGCTCCATCTACAGTATATACAGTCAGGGGCACCCAACGTCAACGTTTGGAAAATATCGGTTTGGAAGACGAATTGAGATCTAGAATTTTCGGAACGTTTATTGTAAAATTTCTTGCTTGCCTGCCTCTCCTAGGATTTTCAAACATCTAAAAAATGGCATAATTACCCTTTTTTAACGGATTTTTACCCTTGAAAGGTCGCCTAGAATGTTCGGGAGCCTTTTTTCTGGCTGAAATTTTCGAAAAGGTAAGTTTTGATCCCTATAATTTTCGGATCACTAGACTTTCAGCTAGGAAATCCTAATAGATGAAAAATTTTTAGGGGATAAAAATATGCTCATATCTACCGTTTAACTACTAAAATACGTTTAACAATGCTATGTTTAAGGTCTCGGTAAATGAAAATTTTAGTACATTGCTCGATTTTGTTTTTTTTTTATTTTTGGCGTGAGTGGGTCCTAAATTTTATTTTCGCAGAAAAAGAAAATCAGAAAGTGCTTTTTAACCCTTCTAAAACGAGCCTTTTCTGAGCTAACTAGCCAAGCGTGGACCTCGCGCTAAATCTTTAGAGCTGATTTTCTCTCACTCTATTTTAGACGCAAAAATCAAAATTCTCCGACCTCCAGTCGGGACAGGTTTTAAGCTATCGCTTTGAAACTTTCAGATATGATGGATAATGATATAGACTCAAAAAGGGTGTGAGGAATTTTCCGATTTCCCTTTGTAACTCATTTTATGTCAGTTTCTTTTCGTAAATCGCGCTCGAGATTCGACTTTTTAGTTTGAAATGCAATAATTCCGCTAATACGAGACAAATGCAAATTTCCTCACACCCTTTTTTAGGTCTTTTATCTGTCAATCAGATGCAATAAAAAGGAAGTGAATATTTAACAACGCGAAAGGGCTGGAACTTCAGCAGTAAACTCGATACCTCTGAGTTCGAGAGCAAAAAACTTAAGCGCCTTTTAAAATTCGATGAAATAAAATCTTTTACAAGGTAATTTTGTCTTTTAGCTTTAATTTGATATATAACTTGTCTTTGTAGCGAAAATACTCGCGCGACTAGATTTTTTTTTCTGTGGGCACCTCGTTTTCCTTTACCGAGACCTTAAGTGGTTTTAAGCTATATTCTCGTTGGGTGCCCCTGATACAGTGTACATGTATTGTAGCTGTCTCTTTGTTGTCCCCCTGGAGAGGATACTCTGTGATTGACAAGTATAAAAGAGATAGGTGCATGCCAGGAAGGTTCTAGAACCCTGACACCCCATTTAAAAGAAAAAGAATTGAAAGTACATGTAGCACTTTTTAAAGGCCCAGGGTAAAATCGATTTTCTAAAGAACAAAGTTTGCTCGAGATAGATCTGTGCATGCTTATTCATAAACGAAAAGAATTCTACTAACTGTAAACGTAGTTTAACCGTTTTGCACAAAGTAGTATTAATACAGTGTAACATGGTAGTTTTTGTTGAGGGGTTTAAAGTAGAGTACATGTAGGTCCTGTACCTTTACGAACCTTATTAAAGGACTACAACACCCTTTTTATGGAGCACGCTGATTGTGCTCCACTTACCCAATAATTCAAATAATCGAGTTTGCCCCATCTCTCACCCCAAGGATTGTTTGTTTTTCTAGCCTGCGGTGGCAGACGTTCAAAGAGGGGAGGGGAATTCAGGTTTGTGAGAAGGCGGGGAAAAACCACTCGTCGCGCACCCTCGCGCTCCTCGCGCACCCTTCGCACTCTTCGCGCGCCCATCGCGCGCTGAAATTTTCCTCCCGCTTCCTCTTTTAAAGCCTGTCTCGCAGGCTATTTTTGTCAAGAAGTTAATACTCTTGCTTATTTATAGGCCAACACATGCAAGGATAACTCCGGTTCACCAAGCGGCAAGCGAGGGGCACGTAAAATGTCTCCAAGAACTCATTAAAAGCGGTGCCGCGATCGACACAGTGGACGGTAATGGACACACGCCCCTGTCAATAGCGCGTGTGTGGGGACACAGAGAGTGTGCGCGGATATTAGCCAATCAACAGTGGTACTTAGACAAACAGAAGGAACTGACTGAAAGACTCCAGAAAGAGCAGGAAAGTAAGCAACTCGAGCAAGAAATACACAAACTTAGCCTCATCAGAATGGCTGAAGGAAAACACGAAAGTCAGCTGGCTTTTAAGCGGTGGATGGCAGAGAAACATTTCCCTGATATACCCACAATGTACGGACCCGTCCCCTCTGAGGAAAGAGAAGCGGCTAAAGAAATACGCGCTTCGCAGTCGCTTCGCCCCACCCCTACCCCTGTAGTAGCCGAGTCGTCTTTTGTGGTTCGTTCAAACACAGAGTATGAGTCTTTTGATGGGGTACCTGCATTTGCTTCACGGAGATCAACTGAGTACTACGATCATGACTCTGATAAAAAGCTCGAGTTGATTCCTCTAGAGAGAATATCTGCTTCTAAGAGACGAAAAGGGCAAAGGACAGAAGGCTTACGGCCAAATAGATCTCGAATTAAGAAAAATCCCTCGCCTATTTCTAGATAAATGCATCGTTCAGTATTTTTAAGCCGCAAACTACAGAATTCAGGGCGCAGGCGTAAAACAGGGTGGTGCTGTTTAAGAAACTCTGTTAACCAGAAGTCAGGCCTTAATTTAAGGCTATATTTATTTAAATTCATGATCTAGAATCGTTTCAGTGGGCAAAAGGTGTTCGAAATGGTTATTCCCCTCACAATTCATAGTTAAATATCAATAGAGTAATATATTTAAAGAGCTGTCTCGACTAACATTGAGATTTCATTAATAAGGCCCTATATTTCCTTATTATTACCGTCAACAAAACAATCGTGCCTATTACTGCTGTCGTGAAAATGAATAATCAGCGCAAGAGAATGAACGATTCTCTCTTGATCAGTGGAGGTAATCTGTTTTATGGAGGCTGCTATGTACTAAGAGTATCAAATTCTATTAACCAAAATCACTGACTTAATCCAGAAAAATTTGCTTATGCAGAATCCAAGACTGTACTGGATTCACTTGCATGGGGCGATTCAGGATCACGATGCGAACCTTCCATCTTCTGATTTGTTCTCAGCCGACTTCCGTTTGGTCTGCCTTGCCTATCTAAAGCAAGTGTTAGCGCACGTGAAAGCAAAGCCAGTTTAAAGTTAAAGTTGGGTGAAAGTGAAGCAACAAACAAACAAAACACGTACTAAAACAGAAACACACAAGGGTGATCGGCTGATGGAAATGGAAGAAAGAAAAAGATCAGTCATTATTGTCCACCAGTCCTCAATTCATGCTCTTTTTCTTTCAGCTGCTTCAGCTCCAACTTTCCGCTTTAATTTCCTCAAATATCACGGCTATATTTGTCTAGTACTCATTATAACATAAGTAATTTGAAATGAAAATTCTTTTTTAAAATCTTCTCTTTCACCATGCCTTTTTGTAGTGGCACTACACAATCATGGTTACTAAATTTATTGTCAGAAATTTTAAAATGTGCCTCTCACATTTGCAAGAGCTTATGTCGGACGTCGACTGTGGGTGAACTTTTTTTTAGATTATGCAAGACTTATTGCACACTCAAGTCACTCATATTATAATTGAACGTATGGTGCTTGTCAGCTGATTTGTTGCAAAATTACCCAAAAGCGCGTTTGAAACTATTTTTCAGTGTTTCCAGTGATCTGATTGAGCAATGCATCAACGACAGTGACTATAGAACACTTGAACAAAAACAGCGACAACATCTGAAACTATTTTTCTTAACATTCATCGAAAGCTGATCACACCTATACCGACACTTGAATCGAGATCAGAGAACGTGATTACAGTTATATCAGTCAGTTCATTTGATGTCTTCCAAATGCTCTTCTTCCTCAGCCCAAGCTTTCTCTATTTCATCCCAGCTTTCCTCAGACAACTCTAGAGCATGGAATCAAGATGGAACATAGATTTCTTTTTAACAAAATCAGTTCAGTTCAAGCTAACAATTAATCTAACGTCAAACTGACCCTGTACGTATCAGGGGCACCCAACGACAATTTTCGGGAAAATATCTGTTCGGAAGACGATTTGAGATCTAGAATTTTCGGAGCATTTGTTGTAAAATTTCTTGCTTGCCTGCCTCCCCTAGGATTTTCGAACATCTAAAAACTGGTATAATTGCCTATTTTAAACGGATTTTTACCCTAAAAAGGTCAGCTAGAATTTTCGGGAGCCTTTTTTCTGGCTGAAATTTTCGGAAAGTTAAGTTTTGATCCCTATAATTTTCGGATCACTAGACTTTCAGCTATAGGAAATCCGAACAGATGAAAAATTTTTAGGGGATAAAAATATGCCTATATCTACCGTTTAAATACTAAAATACGTTTAACAATTCAATGTTTAAGTGGTTTTGAACTATATTCTCGTTGGGTGCTCCTGACGTATGCGCACATTTAGTCACTAATTTATAGTGAAATGGTTATAAAACCCGCTGTTATATCACTTTTTGTTTGCTTTTTTAGACATGAACGGCGTGCCCAACGTTCAGTAGCACTCTTATCATTTTGAACTTAGTGACCAACAGAAACATGGCATTAATTCATTTAGTCATAATTTCCCGTGAAAAAAATGCATGTAATTTCTTTACCAACGGAGCGCTTAGGAGTTCAAGAAAACTGGTTGAAAAGTGTCCGTGCCTTCCAAATCTAATTGGAATTTGGAAGAGTTGATTGTTAAGGGGAGGGGAAAACCGGATCACCCAGAGAAAAACCTTTCGAAGAAAGGGAGAGAACCAGCAACAAACTCAACCCACACATGACTTCAACGCCGGGAATTGAACCGAGGCCACATTGGTGGAAGGCGAGTGCTCAACTTTGATGTTTGCCGGCTTTCATAACCAGTCTCCTTTACTAACTATGATGTGTGTGAGGAATGAAGATTTTTTAAGGCAATAATGTCCATGTGTTTGTTCATACTTATGGTCACAAAAATATGGACATTATTGCCTCATGCTCAGTCTGGTTATCACCCGGGGGTGGGGTACTGCCATATATGGGCTATATAGGTATGTGCCGCTGTGAAGGGTATGGTTTTCAAGCAGTTTACTCTAGGATAGGGTATATAAATCAGAGCATTTGGGTCTAGAATAGGGTATCATTTTTCAGGAAACTGATCAGTTGGTTGACGATTTTATCTAGATTAGGGAAACAGCTACTCTAGGATGGGGGGGATTTTGGGAGTTTACTCTAGCATAGGGTAGCAAAATTCAGCTGAATTAGCTCTGGTTTAGGTTAAGGGTTCCAGGGTCCCAGGGTCACATCCCCACCCAGAAATTCCTAAAGTGCCCCCCCCCCCCCGGGGGTGATCACCACTTTCTTATACTTAAACTTATGTTAGGACATTCTTTACGAAATGGCCCTTTGTATGATCAAGAACGACAAATCATAATTCTCGTAGTATTTATAAACAGAATCGTCTAGTAAATATTTATACGACGTGAGTATTCTAATCATAAAAATATTTTAGGAGTATCTGCATAAAAAAAAAGAATGCCTGTGGGGAGGTAAGGATGTTAAAGAACTTAGAAAATATTTTGAAAAAAAAAAATAACAACAACAACAGCAAAAAATCAAATTCGGCTTTCGTATGATATGACGAATCACGCAGATCTCGGAGTTTGTTATCCACCTCGGCCATAGGTCCGGGGTTGGATACACCTATCTCAATCTGCATTAATTGTTCAATATCTATCATTCATGTCATACTTAGCCTCATTTAATCATAACTATTATACCGTCATGACTCTTCTTTTGATTTGTTCATTCAATCCTGATTTTACCAGGATAGCAAAATAGTAAATATTGCAAAGAAAATATTTGTAAACAGGTAGGATCTTACCAGAAATGAACTTCAAAACAATTGCGTATCCTTGAATCTTTTCTTCGTCAAAAGTTTTTGGGAGAGCCAAAATTGACCGATTCTTATTGGCGGGCACAAAAATACTTCGAAGAAACTGGCAATCTTCATCAGTAAGAGGCTCATCAAGACACAACCTTTTCTGGCCTGTTGTCAGCGCGTCTACAAACTGCAATTATAGTAAGTAAAAAGGTAAGTACAGAAGTCCAGTCGAACTCTTCATCTACCCGACGAACCTATAATCTCTTCAATGAAGTCATTAAATTGTTAAAAGATCGACGTTTGGATCAATTAACAAGAGGTGACATTTCTAATTTGAGTCGATCCATGAATTAAGTTAGGGTGACCCACGTGAGAATTTCGACTGTAGTGACTTCTTTTCAAACGTCAAAACCTAATGTATAAAATATTCAAATGTTTTCGCTAGTAAGCATTGAAGACCATTGTACATCGTGAAATGACTCGACTCAGGTGAATCGAATCAAGGAATGGCTCCTCACTGATATCTGGCTTTTGCCCTATTTTCAGTTTCTCTCTCTCAAGTTGATTTGTGTGTGACCATGAAGGCTTATACCGCCGGAGCTCCCTTCAACTCAACGGCGTTTTCACATATTAGTTTATTTTAGATCGATTTCCCGCAATTTCTGACTATCAAAATGTCTTAAAAAAATCAGTCAGTAATAAGTGGAGCCATGACATCTATGACATTTAAAGGAAAAGTACTCCGAAATAATACTAAATATAACTTGATCTGTGATAACACCATTGCGAAGAGTTATCTCATATATGAGTCATGTTTACTCTCCGGGTTATGAGCTCTTGATTATTTGCTTTAACCGTTCTTACCCACTGCAGGTACTTTTTGACCCTTTCTTTACGCTCCTCTCTGTTCTTGGAAGGTATTAAAACGGACTTCTTTATATCCTCCAGCTTTGCACTATCCTCACTTGTGAAAGAATCTAAGGTGTATAGAGAGTAGTTATTTTGTATTAATTCGTGCCCGCCAAAGGTTTTTCCACATCTAAGATTTGATAGTTACGACATGGTGTCATAATTGCAGACTTAACGATCCTGATAGTTCCCTGATTGGGTGGATTTAGTGTTTATTAATTCAACTTTGCGTTGTAGGTAGATGAAAACGTACGCGTGGCTTTTTCAGTTAACGTTGGGTTTGAAAGTAAACTGCTATAATTGTTCCGTAATATCCTTGTAATATACTTTGTTAATTATCAATCACACACAATCATAACAACAAGTTAACTATCGTTGCGTGATAACCACTTGATGCCACTCAACCTAGCCTGCGTGGCAGGCGTTTGAAAGGGAAGGGAAAGGGAGTTTTGGGAAAGGGAGTTTTAGGCGCTAGAGAAACACGAGGGGCGCGCGAGGAAGGAGGTGGTCTCGCGCTCTAATTCCCTTCCCCTTCCCTTTCGAACGCCTGCCACGCAGGCTACACTCAACCAGAAACGACTCGAATTATGTTGACTCGAATTTTGCTCTTTCAAGGTTTATGCAAATTGGGCCAGTAGACCTAAATAGAGGCTTATTCTAATCTGGTAGGCCATCAACACTCGTTGCAAAAACTGAACAGGAGTGTGAAATCGTTTTAATATTACCTTTGACCTTGCGCAAAAATACATGGCTTGGAACAGTCTGATCTGTCTACGATTGTCTGATGAAATTTCGCAAAATGCTGATGGTATCTAACGGAGTTATATGCAGCTCTGGAAAGTCTAGTGTTCTTACTAGTCAGTGACTGGTTTTAAATTTAAAAGATTTCAATGGAATGGAAAAAGCCAAACTATCCTACCATAGTTCGTTTTCAAAGTAGACTTCGAAGCCTTCAGACAGTTTTTTTTCTTCAGTAAATGTACTGTTTTTTGTGGCTTTCTTTACAATAGGTACGGACTCATTAATACAGCGCAGACTAAAAGAGATTTAACATCAGATGAGCCCATTTGGGACATCAAGAATAACGTAAATTGATTGGCGGACCGTTATATTTGTAAAACCGGAAGTTGTTGCATATTTTTGAAGTACCTAATATCGTTCTTACAAACAAAGTTTGCATAGTCAAGAAGTAGGATTTTAAGGATGATGCGGATGTGTGTTGGGAGATGATTGCAACCCCGTAATCTGGCAAGCCTTTGATTAATCACGGATAGGGCGTGGACATATTCGCACTAAGACATTAGTTTTGCATGTAATTCTGCTAAACAGTTAATTGCCTGTAGTCAATGCATCCATGCGGGTATATAAAAAAACTAAAACTCTTGTGTTGTTTAAAAAACCTGTCAAATTGGTTTCCTTCCCCTCCTCCAGGCTTACAGCTGAGTTTTTATATTCCTCATCGTCTTCGTCGTCCTCATTACCTCTGAAAACATTTTTGCCGACTACCTCTCCTTTCCGAAGCTCCAATCGGTTTTCTTCCTTGTTATAAATAACACGGCAACACTTGAACAGGAATGGTCCACGAGTGTTCCTACTAGCAATCTTTGGGGGAATATTGCTCTTCTTAAATTTTCCCCTCAACTGTGCCAAAGGGTGCACGGGAATATTGACTTCGCCGTCCACTTCCATCTTCGAAATTAATACAAATAGCAACGAATAAAGTCACCAATAAACAGAAAATAACCAACAAAACCAACGGAAGCGATATTTAAGGGTTAGAATATTAATTTTGGCGCAATTTTGGACGAGTATTTCTAAAGAGTACTCTTGGCACATCACTGCAGGCTATTCTGCTACGACTCCTTACGCTACAAATTCAAAATGTTGGTACACAGCAAAATGTCGCCAAAAGGGGAAAGGGAAAAGTTATTGTACAACCGGTCATGGCAGGCACAGACGGACTTCAAACATTTTAACCCAGGCTCATTTGGCTATATTTCTATTTCAGACTCAAAAGCGCGGAGAAGAAAAATTATTTCACCAGTCTTCCCCATACCTCTCGTCATAACATGCCACTAACAGTTGAGTTCACTCACTTGGAGCTCAGTATGATAAGTCCAGGGTTTTTGACAAGTAGCGGACACTGGACGAGAAATGTTTTTGGCGCCGCAAGGCGCGAGCTACCTAGGAGGTGGAGGGGGAGGAAGGGGGGGTGTGGCAGGTTGGGCTGTCTGGGACATGCTACCCCCCTTTATGTACCCTTTGCTTCTCTATATGATATCATTTAGGGTAGTTATCAAAGGGTAAATTTACCTCGCTCTCTCTGTTGCCTTTAATCTCAAATCGCTCGCTGTAAATTACTGAGGTTATCAAACGCAGCTTTTTGTCTTCAAAGACTTCTGCTTTATTGATGTCCAGTTTTGTACTGGCCAATATTTCACGTAAGTCCGGGTCTTTTATGTAATCTTGATCGATTCTCCCCAGGTCTAGGAAACCAAGATCTTCACTTATCTTAATATTTGCACTGGCACAATTGGCTGCCTTGATTCCAAATTCTACCTTGCTAAATCAAGGAACACAAAAAATTATCGTAAGATGTCGGAAGCCTGCATGCATGGGCTCTTAGGGGAAAAAAAACGCAGGCTTTAAACAGAGGGTGGCAAACGGTTTATGCGTGAACAGACGCACGGCAACATGGAATCTATTTGTTAGCCAGTGCACAGCCATAGCACGTGGCTTACGTCATGCCGCATTTCGTTGGTTCTTTGTAACTGTTATTTATCATTGACTACTGTGTGGGTGATTGCTTATCCTTTGTGTCGTAAATCAACAGTATACGCTGCAGTAGAATATATTGAATTATTATCAGGTGACTTTTATATCTTTAAAACATTCGGCGTGCTTCATATTTAGCGCTAATTACCTAGTAGCTCCTTTATCATTGCCGTTGGCTTCCTTTAGTTCTATTCCATGGTCTTCTTTCTTAATATTTTTGTTTAAAGCTTCGAGAAACTCTTCCTTTTTGCCGCCAACTACGTAATCTTCCAGGCCTGCAAGGATTGTAAGCTTATTCGGTTTAAGGGGACGTTCCCAAAAACCCCTTGGTCCCTTAACCAACAGCGTAAATAACTTTATTTCTTGGATTCGGCCATGACAAACAGGAAAAAAGTTTCCCTCTTGATCACCAAAATTTTCTTCAGCGAATTTTTCTAGCAGCTTTTCTAACTGTACCATCTGAAATGGAAAAATATATAGATCTGAAAATCCAATTTTTACCTTCCGGCAATACATTGACAAACTCGGTCTTGGCAGCTCCCATCTTCCCCAGCATTGGTAAAAATATTGTGGGGGGTTTTACGAGCAACTCGCTTGCTTAGAGGAGGGTCTTAATGGGGTTAACCGATTTGAGTTTTTCCCGTGTTTGATGATGCATGCACAACAGTTGGTACAAACTCTTAATCACGCGTTCAAGAAAGATATTCATTTTAACTTCCCGCGTTGCGACACCTACGAAAAACTGTTCTTGCAGTTATAGATCGTTTTGTCTGCTATGGTTATTTCTTTTAAAAGTCTTTGATCACACTTATGAGGAGTTTTGTTTTAAATCGCTGCGTTTATGAAAATATTACTTCGCGAGCTGGAGTTTGATGAGAACAGTCATAACCGACTGGAACTGACGCACTGTACGTGATTTTACCATTTGTAGCGGAGTTCTGGCGCGCCAAGCGCGCCTGCGGAGCACCATGGGTAAGTAAATCTACCCATCCCAGAAAATTTGCTAATCACGTGACAGTACACCGCCCGCTCGTCTTTCCGCACCACAGGAAAAGCAATGTTCAATCTCACACTTTCTAGCTCATTACGAGCCGCAAGGTCGATTTTCGTGCACGCACCAGGGATCCTTAATTTCCATGGAGATACCCACAAACTGGACTCAAGTAACTACAAGGCGTTAGTCTTAACACATTTCCTTGCGCACCTCAGGTGTGCACATTAATCGCTTGCTGTCAGTTCATCTGTCAATAAACTCATTTTAGGACGGGACACAAATTTGCGTCAAATATCAGAGCTTGTCTTCTGCGCGCCGAATTTATACTATCGGAGCGAGATATTTTAACTCAGCTATGGTTCTCGTCAAAATCGCTTAATGGCGATACTTGAATTCATGGTTGGTGTTAAAAAAGGGTCTTGTTGCAAGTCTTGGAAAAAAAGAAATATTTTTTTCGTTTCTTAAGCGAAAGGCAAAATCTAGCGCTTTATGAAGCGACGGTACGTTACCTGGTAAGTTACATATTGTCGCCGAAATGGTATCAAAAGTTCAACGTGAAGAGTTTTGGATGTTATTTCGCATTATGTTCGAAGAACAGAAACTGTGTTCGCCGATATAAGGTAAGAGAGAACTTTATTATTTAAAAAGTAGAGGAGCAGCTTGCTATGGCTCTTGTATGCGGAGTTCGAGCACATTTGTGAAGCCGGTATGACGACACTGAGGAAAACTGAAGAAAATATTTACCTGCCTCTGGTATTGTGTATATTCTCGATCACTATACAATAACGCACAAATATTATAATTCAAAGGGCATTTACAACACGCGCCAAAAGAGCCGTGATACCGCCAAAATGCTCGAACCATCTAACAGAGTGTAAAAAGAGGGCTGGTAGGCAACACACGACTTTTACCTCGAGCCAAAATGCTGCTAGTTCCAAAAATTGTTTTCTCTGGTGGGTATATTATATTCTGGGTTCAGTAACTGTGAATTTTGCCTCTTGTTTCATACTGGTCATGACACGCATATTGATTTTCTGCGGTTATTGTTTCTGGTCGGCATGATTTGCCCTCTGATGCAAGAGCACTTTCTTCGACCTCTTTTGAAACGTAAATCTCTTCCTCTGCGGCTAAATAAGAGTTTTAGATTGTTTATTCTTCTCCAAAGTGCCTCCTGGATCTGAATAGCTAAAGGCGATATTCGACATATTCTTTTGTCCGTGAATGTGATGGTTTCCTTCAATTTATGTCACGCTGGGCCCAGCTCGTTTAGTATTTTCTGCACGATGTTAAATTTTCACCGAAAGTGATTTACAGATCCAAATTTCGAGGAATGGATTATAGGAACGCATTTTGTGAAGAGAGATTTTTTAAGTAAAAAGAACTCGGATCCTTAAATCGATCGTGTTTTAGCTAGCCAATTGCAGTTTTCATATTGTGTGTTAGTTTGAATAATTCAGTAAATTTTTCTCTCCTCTCCCTCTTGGCTTACAGGCGACGCGCCCAAGTTTAAGAGGTGAAGAGAGATTTTTGAAGGTGAAAAACTCGTAGATTGAATCGTCATATTTTAGCTAGCTAGCCAATTGCAGTTTTCATGCGCTGTGTTAGTTTTGATAATTCAGTAAATTTTTCTCTCCTCTCCCTCTTAGCTTACAGGCGGCGCGCCCAAGTTTAAGAGGTGAAGAGAGATTTTTTTCAACGGTAAAAAGCTCGTAGCCTGAATAGGCCATGTTTTACTAGCTAGCCAATTGCAGTTTTCCTACGCCGTGTTAGTTTGGTTACTCTCTCCTCTCCCTCTTGGCTTCCAGGCGGCACGCCCAAGTTTAAAAGGTGAAGAGAGATTTTTGGAGGTAAAAAACCCGTAGATTGAATCGTCATGTTTTAGCTAGCTAGCCGATTGCAGTTTTCATGCGCAGTGTTAGTTTAGATAGTTCAGTAAATTTTTCTCTCCTCTCCCTCTTAGCTTACAGGCGGCGCGCTCAAGTTTAAGAGGTGAAGAGAGATGTATTTAAATTGAAACACTCGTAGCTTGAGTCGATCATGTTTTACTAGCTAGCCAATTGCAGTTTTTATACGCTGTGTTAGTTCGGATAATTCAGTAGGTTATTCTCTCCTCTCCCTCTTAGCTTACCGGCGGCGCGCCCAAGTTTAAGAGGTGAAGAGAGATTTTTTTCAACGGTAAAAAACTCGTAGCTTGAATCGATAATGTTTTACTGCCTAGCCAATTGCAGTTTTTATGCGCTATGTTAGTTTGGATAATTCAGTAATTTTTTCTCTGTCTCCCTCCTAGCTTACAGGCGGCGCGCCCAAGTTTAAGAGGTGAAGAGAGATTTATTTAAATTGAAACACTTGTAGCTTGAGTCGATCATGTTTTACTAGCTAGCCAATTGCAGTTTTTATACGCTGTGTTAGTTCGGATAATTCAGTAGGTTATTCTCTCCTCTCCCTCTTAGCTTACAGGCGGCGCGCCCAAGTTTAAGAGGTGAAGAGAGATTTTTTTCAACGGTAAAAAACTCGTAGCCTGAATAGATTATGTTTTACTAGTAAGTGCAGCTTTTTTACATTGCTTTAGTTTGTATAATTTAGTAGATTTTTCTCTCCTCTTCCTAATGGCTTACAGGCAGCGCGCCCATTCTTACATGATTCTTAAGAAGCGGTGATAAACTATAAAGTAAGTCACAGCTTGAATCAATCGTGTTTTAGCTAGTCGTTAAATAGTTGTTGTTTTTGTTCATATCGTTAGTGTATATAATTCAGTAGATTTTTATTTTCTCTCCCTCTTAAGTCGTTAGCTCTTATGCGATGCGCCCAATCTTACGACAAGTGGTGTTGGTTTCAAAAGTGAAATTAAGTTATTGTGATTTTTTTTCTGATCTACGGCTCTCAGTCTGGATAATATTCAGCGTAATGCCTGTGTTTGATGTACACCGGAAACCAGAAAAAAGCTAGTTTTGTCCGCTGGCGGCAATATTTTAATTTCGACAGTTTAAGGTAAAATATTAAGATAATGTCTAAATCATTTGTGAACTGTGATAGTTTTTTTTGCGTAAATATCTCTCGTCGATCAAATGTGACAATTTGGCCAGATTTATACCAGCGATGTAAAAATTTCCTCCGTCTATGTTGAAACCGAACAAACCTCGCGGGTATCCGCTTTGGCGGGTGATCTCCCTGAGAGATTATTGAGTTGTTGTTTTCATTGTTTGTTCATCAAGTTCTCAGTTTTAATTATTTTCCGGTAGTATTGTTCTGATTTATTGTTTATTGAGTGGGTCGGCGAGCTTCGAAGAGTGAAGCTCCAATGCAGAATTTTTGAAGTCTATTTGATATTATGCTTTCGACAGTGCACGTGAATAGCAACTAGGTTGGATTAAGTGTCGAAGATGAAAGATTGCTCAATAAAACGAACATTGTTGACAGCTTTAAGATGGGCTCAGGGTCTCTTGATGTAATATAACCCTTGGTTCAAAACAATAGACTTGGCGCCTCGCCCTTCAGAAATATGCGAAGATCGCGACGTTGAACGTCGCTATCCCCCAAAAATTGAGCCTGCGGCTTCCCAGGCGGCCTGGGAGCACAGGAAGACTGATATTGCACACATATTGCACATCGATGTTGTGATCAATTGACAACTGTCAGAACAGCTTATCCGCTGACAAGTATCACCTGACCGTATCGCGGGCTCAGGTGTTGACCCATCGAGGTCGAGTATCTTTTTGAAGTTATCCGCTGACAAGTTACTAGTTTTCAAATGATCGCAGGCTCAAGTTTATCTTTTTAATTCATATGAAATATGTTGTGTTTTATATGTGCCGCACAATTAAAATTTTGATTTCAAACTGACGTCGGAAAATTCAGCCAGTTTTTACAGGCAGGGAAGGCATGCCAGTTGCTCAGTGACTTTTCTCTACAAGGTCACGCTCTACGTCCAATGTTTATGCTCTGATTGGTCAAAATTTGACCAGTGAGTTCATGCGGAAAATTTATGCTGCGTCTTGAAACTTGTTTACTTTGACAGCTGAAGCTGACAGATTTTTGTGTCAACTTGTGTCGATGTTTTTAACTGTCTGTTTCCACTGAATGTACAAAATGAAATTCAGCTGCCATCAAGAGTCTTCTGTTATTCATGGCTAGTTTGTTTATTGGGTTTTTGGTTGGGAAATACGTCGCTTGTCAAAGTCGGAAATCCGATTTCGGATGGCATCGTTTTCGTTTTTCACCTTGCTTGATGCGTAAGAGGGTTGAAAATGGCCTTAATTGATAGTTTTCAATGCATCTCGAATGGTAAGCCTGAGTAATTATTGTATTTGATGTTTGTTTTTTATATCTAATTTAATGAAGTCGAGCGTAGTTTATGCGGCTATTTAGTTTATGCACGTTTGAAAGATTTAAGGCAATGATCTGACCGAGTAATTCTTTAGACATTTTCTCACCGCAAATAGAAAGAAAACTTTCCATAGAATATTAG